ATCGGCGCACAAGACCCAACAGGCCTACTCTGCCGCGGCTGACTGCCACATTGAGCAAGTGCCTCAGCGAGTGGCCCTCCATGCCCTCCGTTGCTGTGCGAAGGAACCAAAGGAAACCTTCCCCATTCTCAGTTCCGGACTTGTCTGCAAGGCAACCCAACCTCTGTCCAGCCTCACAGTCTCACAGCCCAACTTTAATCACTCCCGAAATCATGTGACAGCATCTGGCCATTTGACAGCCTCCACCATTCCGCTGCCATTGCTCAGCACTGTGGACAGTAGGACATAGTCCCACCTTCAGATTCCAAAGGCTTGGCATCAAGCCAGCCCGTGAGAAAGGTGGGTTTGGCACCCGGACTGCGGGACAACTCCCTGGACCCTAAACCCTGTAAACCCTAAACCCTAAAACCCTGCTGTAAAAAACCTCCCCTACGAAGCTATCTGGAGCCGCGCCGCTCGGAGCCCTGCGCCGTAACCACGGAGCCGACGTGGACCCCTTGCGCCCCAAGCCGTCGCAGTGCTCCCTTCAGTTCGACGACCTGCACAAGAACACTGCACCCAAAATGAAACCAAAAAAGCACCTTTCACAATTCACTGCAGCCAGTGCCACCTGGGCGTTGTACCAAGAAAGGACAGCCACACTTTTGGAGCCGGCCCTCGCCGCAATTTCAGCTGCTAGCCTTCCAGCACAGAGGGAATGATATATCATCATATACCGTATCAGACGCAGGCTACGACTAGTCAAGGCAACTTGTCTGATGCAACGACGCTCAGTTTCTCCATTTCAATTTCCGCACTGTTGATTCACCAAGGAAGAAGCTCGACCCTGCCTGGCGCAGCGTTCCGCCTCGTTCACGTTCGCCTGCATGGCAGTGGCCAATGGAGCAAGTCACAAGCACAACATGGTCTCGGGCGAAGTTTGCATGTTCCAAGATACGGCAACTGCCTTGGATCGTGTGGATGAGTCCTTTGTGGCGACCTCGTGCACCTGGCACCGCGTTTTCTTGAGCATGCAGGTGGATTGCCCGTGGTTCCACAGCCTCTTCTTGGAACGTAGCTGGCGATGTCCAGAACAGCACAGGAGAGCGTACCCCAGTGTAGCCATGCGCCTTGCTGCGGTATCACTAACTCCAGATTTCCCAGAGCAGAAAGAAAGAGAGTCTACCCCACGGCCGGCACCACCTTTTGACAGTCGCCTGGCATTCTCAACTTCGTCCATGCTAAGCTTCGCACAAGCATTCCAGCCGGACGGTCTTTTGTCGACTTGTCACTGAAAACCTTGTTCTTGCAAGCATCTCTAGAGCTAACAGATGTCCTGTGAAAAGCTTGCACCATGCACACCCAGACCCACCTTGCCCCCGTAGAACTGCTTGGAGGGAAAGCTGTTCCTGCGACCAACGACAGTGGAATTGCGCAGCTCAGAGGACAGATGTGGCCGGCTGGGCAGTCATGCTGGGGTGCATCCGGTACTGTTGCCGAAGCAGAACCGAAGGTGGCGCCTTCGTGAAGCACTTGCGGGCATGTGCAATGGGCAGGCGCGTCTGCTGTTGGATCCCGTATAGGACCCTTCAAGGCACCTGAAGCGAAGCCTGCAGAGCCTCAGAGAAGAACGGTCTTTCACCGCTAAACCGAAGTCAGCAGATGGAGGTGGAGCGCAGTTAACTCAGCGGCTTGCTGGATCGGGCGAGGACCCCATCTTATTCAACCTGCAGTGAGCAGAACACAGGGAATGTATGGAAAGCATGACGGGAGGAAAGTCAGAGTACATTGCTGCGACTGGCAACCACTGGCACTGAGGCCAAAGGCGCCCCCAATTTCTGCAGCTCCTGCGACTTCCCATTCAAAAGATGCAGGCTTTAGGGGAAGTCTGCGAATGGGTCCTCTAAGCCGCTTCAAGCTTCTTGGGAGGATAAAATGACGGCATAAGAAGCAAATGTCCTCATCGCTGCAGAAGCACCCTGGGCACATCGCGGCTGAACACGCGCATCGCGAAACTCAAGGAGGAACAAAGTGTGAACAAAGTGTGCCTCGCTCGCTACGGTCGTCCACCAGCTGCGCAAAGGACTTCAAATCCACACTCTCAACACCTCACGGTCGCAGTGCAAGCCTAGATACACTTCACAACACAGTGGACTACTACGACGGGCTTGACCCTTGTGGAATCTGTCCCTCTGTACCATGACAGGCCCAACTGCTCCGCGCCTAGCTCACCGCATAGGACTTTGAACTCTTCTCGCCACTCCTCATCTGACCCTGGCGCTTTCCAGTGCAGATGCCAAGTCTCCAAGGATGCTGTGGGGACTGGGACGGCGCCTTCCCATCCAGTGAATTCCGCAAAGCCTCGAAGATCCTTCGCAGGCACAGGAAATCCATGGCGGACTCTGAAGCAGAGAACCACGCACACGCTCACCGCTCATGAAGACTGCTTCCCCTCACTGCTTTACAGCTGTGGTGCTAGAAACCTCCTGCTGGCCTCGAACCCTGCCTAGGCAGCAAAAGATACGGTGCTGTGTGTTTTCCTAGCGATTTGCTGCATTCAGGCGAAGGGGTTCAGTAAGGCAAAGAAGACAATGTCAAGCTTCAAAATGATCGTCGCCAAAGCTGGTCATTTCTTGCGGATGTGCATTCCGCCAGGGCGTGGCAACTGTGAGAATCTAGATCCGTGAGAACTTGGAACGTATGCGATCACCCCCAAACTGCCCTTTGCATCTGATGCGTGATGTCGGTTCCGTCCTGGGCGGCAGCAATGACACGCAGACATTTGTGTGTCAGTGCTTCTTGAGGCTTGCTCCTTCGGCTCCTCGTTTGCCTGAGTGCCCTGGAGTTAGCAAAATACACTTGAGGGCATCGTCCGCATTTTCCGGAGTTGATCGCATCAGGGCAGGGTGATTCCCTGACGTCGTGCATATCGGGCTGGTTGCTCTGACCGGGCCCTTCGAACTCCATCCTTAAGAAAGAGGGATACTTAGGGGCTCTCAGGGAGAGGACGAATACTTACCCCGTGGACTGTAGACATCTTGCTTCCTTGGCTCGCGTTTGCCATGTGCCTTTTAACTGATGTCGAGGGGGTGGCTGCTTTTTGAAAACGGCACTCCCAAAGCGAGTTGGAGCTCTGCAAAACACAGCATGTCCTCGGCTTGAAGGTTCTGTGAAGTCGATCCTGTCTAAGCCCCAAGCGTCCAGAGGGATGTGGCAACAGGAGAACTGAAAACGGCAGCCGCATGGGCCTTGAAGAGAACAGAACGCCTGGCGACAAACGAACGCTCAGCTTCGTCTAGCGCAGACTCTGCACTTTGCGTCACATGTGCTTTCTTTTCAATGGCTTTGGCGGTCTTCCTGCGAGAGCAGCCACGCAAGCATCTATGCTTGTAGTGGCCTGGTAAACCAGCTGCGCGCGGTCAGCGGGCAGATCCTCAAACAGACTCAGAGAGGCTAGATCAGTGAACGTTGTGCTCACATCACCAGACCGCTGAGTGACTTCTCTGTCCTGCAAAACTGAGAAGTCAGGCTTGGCCTCCGTGTTCACACACTGTCGCATGCTTACATCCGCCTGAAGAAAAAAGTCTGGCATTGCCTGAAGCTCGCAGGTTGCAGTGGACAGGCGTTCGAACAGCGAGCAGGCTAAGCCTCTGGTGGCAATTGAGTAGGCAACGAGGGACCAAGGAAGGCATAGCTAAGGCTGAAGACAGCAAAACATGGAGCGTTTCAGGGCTAAGCTGCCAGCCCAGGCTGCCCGCATCACGATTTTTCACGACTGGGCGCAGCTGTCGATAGTCACCCACCAAGACCTGATAGGGGCAAAATCCCCTCAAGACCCCTTGTGTTACTTTTGCTACCATTGTCCCTCATTCTCCCATGTCCTTGCTGAGCTCACAGCAACTCTCTGCACAGTCTTGCTCAAAGTCAACGGACAAAGAGTCTGACGGGGTTGGCAACTTGAGCTCTCGGCAAAGGGAATGACATGCCCGGAGCTTCTGCAGCTAACGCTGCGCCGCTGGGCAAAAGAATGCAAAAAAGTTGCCTCTGGCTCGGGTGACGTTCCACACTCGTCCACTACCACTTGCCGCAGCTCGATGTTCTCCTCGACTGCACAAGAAGGGGTGCAAAGGGTTGTGGCCAATACCAGGAATCTCATGTCCCTCCTTCTGCAGCAACTGCGGTATCCAGCCACGACGACAAGAACAGTTGGTTGCAAGGAGGATGTTGCAGCCTGCCACGAAGTGGATCTGAAACACTCACGTGCAGCGCCCTTGAATAGATACCACAAGCGACTGCGGAACGAATCCTTGCACGACGCAATGCATTGCAACACACCCTATATATACCGTACAGGCCCGTTCTGCTTGTTAAATAGCAAATAGCACCAGTGTTGGATACACATCCGCATCCAAGCCATGCCAGGGTAGCTTTGGAACTCAAAGGCACGGGCTTCTTGCCGGGCTTCCAAGTACGCGGTCCTGCAGAGATCTCCCAGAGAAGGGCTCTCGTCGCTTAATCGCTTAATCGCTTTCAGTTCATGGCTCCTCAAGGATGCGGTCGTTCTGTTTTTTTTTGCTCGCTTTGAACCATGAGTGATGCCTTTACAACATCTTTGAAACGAGAGCGGCGCGGGGCCACCTTGCGGCGGACCTTGCGATGCTCGTCAGGGCCGAGTCAGCCTCTTTTTAGGCTGCATTGAGCCCTCCTGCCTTCTCGAAAAATCTAGTGCATTTTGGAGAAATTCCACTAGAATCGGCTGAGCTTGAGACAAGCAAGTCCAGCGCTGTTTGCTGCGGACGTGGGCTAGCTGCAGCTAGCTGCAGCTAGCTGCAGCTGGCTGTGCACTATGGGCGGCTCAGGGGCCAAGCGCGCTGTTCAAAGGACTCGTCTGGGCCTGAAGATTCGCAGATTGTCTCAAGGGTGGAGTATGGCAATAGTGGAGAAAAGAGTTCGGGGTGAGGCATCTCTTTGAGGGCCGGGCCGCCCAGCGGCTCTCCAAGCCACTGAAATCTCATTTGATCTCATTTGCGGGGCATGAGGTCTGGGTCTTCAGCACTCCCGCGAACCTCGGCACGACAAGGTGACTGAAGTGCAGTTGTTTGAGCCGCTTCCGCCGCTGACACTTCTGAAACCTTGACGCTTCAACAATATAACTCGATGTGAATCAGCTCTGCATCCTTTCAAGTCCCTTGCTTTCTCGACCCTGCCCTTCCAATGCCGATTGCGCCTTGAGGAAGGCTTGGACGGGATCGTCGATGCTGCTTCGAAGAACACCACCAAACGTGTCCAACTCAGTAAGATCTTCATCTTCCACCTCAAGCGACGGCCAGGAAGTCTGCATTCGCTGCTTCTCCTCTTCTCTTTGGTACGTCTTTTGAATCTCTTCTAAGCTGCGTCTTGCGAAGGTGGCAGCACGCTAGGATCTGACCTTATAAATCCACGGCGAGAACATGCGAGGGCACAACTACTGCTCTCGCAAAAAGCTGAGGGCCGAACACCGAGCTGATGTGACCCCACGTGTTGCCTACACGGGCAATGTACGGAGATGAAGAGAAAGACAAGACTTACAGAGCTCTTTTGCCTGGCCTCTGAATTGGTAGGCGGGGTGGCTGTCACTCACCTCGACAACTCGGCGCTTCTTCTTCGCCAATGGCCGGACCACCTGAATCAGTCTGTGCACTTTTGTGAACATCTTGACAGGTGCATTGCAACCAACTGCTACAAAGTGCAGTGGGTGCAAAAGGATTCGGTTGCAACGCTGCGATGGGTCAGGGTGCGTCATTCGAGCAGCTTGTGAAAACCGCGCACGGAAATGATAGAGGACTCATGCGATCCCGCAACCATCCGTAATTCTGGGTCTTACAATGTCATCATGTCTGGAGGCAAACCACATGCACAGCTAAGGGTGCGACACCCGGAACATCAAACTTGGCATTGTCGATGGCACCGATCTCATGCAGATCCTCAATCCTGTCTTGGGACATGCCTGCAAGGAAACGGAACAGTGTCGGATGCACGCGCAGGTCACTCTGATGATGTGAGCAGATCTGCCTGAATCCAGCAGAACTTGCTCTGTGTGCTCACCAACACGCGGAGGGGGAAGGCGGTAGTCCACCTATGGAGCATTATGGAGCTGTGAAAAGCTGCTGAGACAACCTGGATGCGCCACCCGGATAAACGCATGGCTGGCTCCTACGTCTTGTAGTCGATGCCCAAAGCTTACTGTGAACAGTCGATCTCCTTTGGTTTCATCTACTTGGTGGGCAGCCCAGCCTTCGTGCGGGAGAACTTCATGGGCGAGCCGATGAGTGAAACGGGCTCACTGAAACCCGGCAAGTTCATCTGAATCTCCATGTCGCGAGACTGGACCTGAGAAGCACTCTGTAGCAGCCACATGGGCAGCCACTAGCTACTGGCGGACTGCTGGAAGGCTGTGGCCATTCAAGGAACTCCCGAGCGCAGGCTGATGGAGTTAAGATGACTGAAGCTGGTCGTCTTCAAAGGGCAACTTCAATATGTGACCATCCTTTGCCTGTTTTGTTTTTTCTTCGGCCCTTGTTGACCCCTCAGACGCTCGATCTCTCTGCGCAATGCCTTTTTTTACAAGTGCTTGTGATTGGTGCTCGGTCGGCCACTCTTTCTTTGCATGTGCAAGGAGCCAGTGAAGACACCCATGCATCGGCAGTTGTATGGAATCTGGACGCGGGTTCCAGGTCCAGCACAAAGCCTGTTGCTAGTGTTCTGCTTCTCCATGTGCTTGTCTAATGGCATCGCGTGACCTACGTCAGAATTCCTTGCCTTTGTCCATGCTCACTGCTCGTTGTGTCGCTCGTGATTTCTTTGTTAGCGGCCTCTCAGTCATTCTCGCAGCTGTGGTGATTTTTAGATTGGAGCCTTGCAGAAGCGAAGTGTTAGGAAAGGCGATCTCGCAATCTGGAAATGGTGCAGGAGGAGGTTGAAGCCAAGACAGAGCATGAAGGATGTGGCTGCCAGGGCTCCCTCCTCCCTGCATTTTCTGGACAGTTTGCTTCTTTGCACGCTTTTGCAAGCAAACAGTTACCGATGAAATAAAGGCACCCGCGCTGGAGCATACGTTTTTTCGGAATCCCGCTCGCACTTTGGACGAAAAGCGAGCTCTCGCCTAGGCTCAGGCAAAGTGCTGAACTTGAATCAGAGCGGTCCGGGTTGCACTGTTGCGCTACGCATGCATGTTGTGCTCGTCGCTCAAATATCCTTCTGCTGTTGTAACTTGTTGTTTGTGGTGCCATTCGTTGTCTCTTGTGTGTGTTTTTATTTGTCTTTTTAACATTGTACCATGTGCTTGTTCATAGTTTTGTTCCTGCCTATGTGTATGAACTGCAAGAACTTGTACTGCGGCGAGCTTGAAAGGCCACAAAAAAGCCCCCTCCGTTCTGGAGGCGGAAGTTCGGGAAAGAAAAGGGGGGGCGCCACTGCACCTGAAAGAGGCTTCCCAATTTGGAAATCCAGAGAAAAAAGGAGGCTAACATTCGCCGTGCACTCTCTTTGTCACATAATGCATCTCCGTGTGCCCATTCGTTCGCTCTTTGTGCCTGCGAGGGGCATGCGGATCAGCAAAGACCTCATCAAGGTGCAGGATGGGAGCGCAGCCAACCATCTCCTTCTCCAACTGCTCCAACCACCAAAGCTTCGGGTGTTGCGAAGTAATCTCATTCAGCGTCGGCGTGACCACGTCTCGATGCACGACACGGGCCTTCATGGTGTTGAACTTCTCGTTTTCCATGAGGTCCATGCGGCCGGCCACCTTGCAGAAGCGCTCGAACTGGTCGTTGTTGGATGCCGTTAGGATGAAGTAACCTTAGTACAGAGAGCCTCAAAAACTGCACCCTTTGGCAAGCTGGAGTGCAACCACAGTCCACAACACATAGAAAATCTTAGAATCTAGACAATGCGTCTGAAAGTACTCAAGCAACCATCCTTAGCTGGCATGACCTGATATGGCACCACATTCGGGTGGTTGTTGCCCACGCGCTTTTGTCGCTGCTTCTTTGCCAAATAGTTCATTCCCTGATTCGCAAGAAGTGCCACTGACACGTCCAACATGGAGATGTCCACGTGCTGGCCCAATCCCGTAACGTGCTTGTTGTGCAGCGCTGCCAAAATTCCAATTACCTGGTCGTCTTGCGGGGCCAACAGCAACTGGGAACTGAAAACTAGACTAAGCCTCTGGCTCCATGAAGACCTGCGGTGAGGTCGAAGAGAGACAGCCCCGTTTTCATGGGCGCTCCGTCGGGTTCTCCAGTCAAGCTCATCGAGCCGCCCATTGCCTCATTCCATGAGTGCAAGAAATCAACGAGTCACTCGCTCGAACATACCTTGTAGGAAACATAACAATCACGTCTGGAAAATCTTGCGAGACTTTAAAGTGAGAAAACAGGAGCTGGCCTGGATCAACATGTCGTAGGCGGGTCTTTTGCTGTACGGTCCAGAGTGTCCGAAGCCGGTAATGCTGCAATAGATCCTCAGGCGGCAGATGGCTCTTGGGAAACGCTCTTATTGAAAGAAAAGGAACCTGTTGTCCACATGGAAAACTCTTGAATGCCCTTGACACCCCTCCACCAGCCCTTGCGCGACTTGAACTCAAAAACGATGCTTGCGCATCACCAGAATCAATTGGGGGAAGTCGTCTTTGAGCTGGTCGAAGCCCAAGCCATACCTTTACGCAACGCTGTCAAACATGTCGTGTCACTGTGCAGCTAAGCCAGAAGCCTACTGCCAGCAAGCCATGTCTTGAAATTCCATCCAACATCACGGTTCTTCCCTGGCACATCAAAATAAAGCACAAGTGGTCTTTTGAATGGGGTGCAAGGGGAGGTTGAGGTCGAAACGCCTCCGCCTAAGAGTTTGCAAACGGGTCTGCCGGTTAGGGTCTCCAAAACCCAGCTTACTAATGGCACTCCCGAGCTACCACCAGCATTTTCACATAACTTGCCTTGCCATTAGCCGCCCTTGGTACCCCATCTACCCCGCTCAGACGGGGATCCAATCAGCTGCTACTGCAACAGCGGCCCCCCAAAAGAAAACTTCGCAATCCGTGACTCGATGCAGACTTCAGCCCTCGGCCCAACCGCTCAGCCCGGCTAAACAAGCCCTTTGTAAGATGTGTTAAAATATGAGGCCTAAACGAGAAGAAGCAGGTCCAAGTGGCTTGGCCAGGCCTCCAGCCTTGAAGTTCTCGATGACAACGTCACTGCTCTGCAGGAGGTGCTTGACGACGTCCTGGCCCTCCTTGGTCTTGAAGTCGACCGCCACGCTGTACTTGTTCCTGTTGCAGCTCGAGAAGTATGCCGCCACGTCTGAATCCTCGCCGGGGCCTTTCTGCAGGAAGGGTGGCGCATAACCTCGGTTGGGGAATCTCGACCGAATCGCTCGCTCGCTCGTTCTTGATCTTTTGTGGGGGGGGGGGGGGGCTCTCTTTCGGGGAGTTTCGGATTTCGTCTGGAGCAAGCACTGCATTTTTCTGAGTGGGGGACGCCTGGTGTCATCACCGGATTTCGGTGCTTCCACCTTAATAACCTCCGCACCCATGTCAGCCATCAGCATCGTTGCCGATGGGCCTCACGCATCTGGAAGCTTCTTCAGAATACAGGGATCAAGCATGTCATCAGCTCCGACTGTCTCAGTAGTGCGTAAGCCAAACTTGGAGAAATGTCGAGACTGCTTTTTCAGCTGCCTGCTGAACGGCCCACCAAGTTCGACTAAAGCATGTCCCAAGCTTTCTCGAAAGATCTATCGGCCTGCGAGAATCCTCGACAGGTCCAAGATCCGCAGTCCTCCAGCAAGCTAACACTCTGTGAAGCAATGAAGCCCCAAAGGTGCCCAAATCCCGAAGCCTCTCTGTACCCAAGTCATCTCAAATCTTGGGAGTCAGAGTCTCAATGCGCTGCACATGGGCTCATGCTCACTCCTGAAAGCGGGCCAGTAGCAGGACCCGTAGATAGGGAGAAGCATCGGGATGTGGCTAAGCGGCACAGATTCACGCTCTTCGCCCTGAAAACCTGCATCATGGCCTTGGCAACTTCAAGGTTGGATTCAGGTGTGCCTATGCTGTGGAGATCAACTGGCTCTAATGTACTGCGGGGTTAAGCACGCGACCCCCTGCGTCTGCTCTCCGAACTGACGCGTCGAAAGCGCTGACCAGGAACCGCGGTTTGGACCACAAAAATGTTCTTCGGCGGACAAGGTCTTCTGCATGTGCGGCTGGAGACCTAGTTGACTTGCTAGTTACTTGTGAGAGGGCTCAAGCCTGACCTTCTGCCCTTGACTTGAGAAGCAGATCAACGTGAAGGCTCTTTCTGAGTGGAGCTGCGCAGAGCTTCCAGCTGCAGAATCTGAGGTCGTTAGCGCGCGCTGTCTCCCTTGGGGAGGCCAGTGGAACTGCAAGCAATGCTGCTTTAGGCAAGGGTTTGCACCCGCTGAGCCTCAACTCTTTGAGTCAGGATCATTTCATCACACGTTCTCTGTCAATTCTTTGGTCAGGAGCAGCCTTTGTACATGACGTGCAAGAGTAGCAGCGCTTCACGCACTCAGGGAGTGTAAGAGGAATGGTGACAACCATCACCTAGGGCATGCAGCATCACATGCTTGAGCGTTGTCTGCCCTTGCCGCTCCACGACCGCTTCTGTCAGACCAAAAGCAAAAAAAACACTGAGCTACACACTGAATCATCTTGGCTCTGCAATTTGCTTTTCAGTGATAACTCGCGCTCCTCCGCATCCTTCGCTCGGAGAGGCGTGCAACCCAGCTGGCCAAGACAGGGCATCACACAGGGCAGTCGCAAGTCTAACTCTCCTTCAGCTGTCTCTCTGCCGCAGCCAGCTGTTGTTGAAGCTGCTGGAAATGACTTGCGTAGCCTGCAACAGCACAAGACACACCTATGCGGTATATCAATCTGCACAAAGCATGGGTGCACCGGCTTGGTTGATTGAAGGCCAGCACGAAGTGCTCTCTCTCCGAGCAATACAACAGTACTGGGATTTCGGTTGCACAGTGCAAGTCACGAGCAGCTTACAGTGCAAGCACACACGACATGTTCAGGCAAACCACAGGTACTCACTGGGCGTTCTCTCATACACTCCTCTGCTTCACCCTGTACTGAGCGATGCAGTGCCTTTTTCCTTCAAGCTTGCGACCTCATGTCAGCTCGAAGGCACACGATGCTATCCGATCAGACATGTAGCACCAGTACAAAGCGAGGACAAGTTCCCGGCGTTCGAGATTGCATCCTGCGCAGTGCGAGTAAGCCAACTGTCCTGCAAGATCTCGTCCGCGGACAGCCGCTTCCTCCGCAATGGTTGGTTTAGGCGTTGCAGGATGTTGCAGGAATGAGGACACCATCCCCGTTTCAAGAACTAGGTTCCTCCTAGAACAAGTTGAGTTCGCCAAGCTCCAGAAGTGGGGTTGGAAAGTACACTAACGACGTATGGGCATAGATGGCATAGAAGCCCTCAGGTTTAAGAGCGATCCAAGCCGCTCGATGTCAGGACAAACCATTCGCTGACAAAGGCTTCGAGCTTCCGGTGGTGCTGGCTGGAAAGCTCCTCCTATGAGACCACCCAACCTCGAGAGGGTAGCGCAAGGCACCAACCGGAATCGACAGCCCCACACCAAAAGGGCTTCAAGTTTTTGGCAAGGCGCATGGAGGCACCAAAATCTAAAGTACCTCCGTAGAGCTTCTCCATGTCCAGGACTTGCTTGGTGTTCGGCTTTCCTTTGATGAAAGGGTGATGACCGCCGGAGACAAGCCTTGGGGGCCGACAAAGGCCACAGAAAAAGAAATTCTGCCGAGCAGGGTACAGAGAGTGTGGAGAGTATAGAGAGTATGGAGAGTACAGAGAGTATGGAGAGTATAGAGAGTACAGAGAGTATAATTAGAGAGTATAGAGAGTACAGAGAGTACAGAGAGTATAATTAGAGAGCATGGAGAGTACAGGTGCATGGGCAGGGTGCAGCCCAAGGAGCATATGAAGTGTGCAGCCTGCAGCCCAGACATCGACCGGATGCCCATACCCTGGGCTCCCCTTCTTCAGGAGGTGCTGCTCTGGCGCCATGTACGCCGGCGTTCCGACATCCTCCTTACTCGTCTCACCCTTTGCGAGGAACGTGGCGAAGCCGAAGTCGGAAAGCTTCAGCAAACCAGAAGACAGCATGAAGTTCCCTGGCTTGATGTCACGGTGGCCTAAGATGACCACTTGCAGCCAGCACCAAGCATGCGTAGGGTCACGCATCAAGCAACAGCGTCCGAGACACAAATGCCTCTGGCGTGCAGATGGGCTATGGCCGCACAGATCTGCCTTGGCAGAATCTCCCTCTAGGGGCCCTAAAGGCACATGAACCCTTCTTGAGGATTCTGTAGATGGCCTCGTCCATGCACCAGCTTCCGTCTCGCGGAGCTGCCAACCTCAGGGTTCGTCTTGACTTGCCCCCCCCTGCAAGAGGAGGACTTTACAAAGCCATACTTTCTTTTAGCTGCTCGGAGTCCTATCTGAAGGATGTCTTTGCACAGACATGCCTTGCTCCATGAGCTTGTCATCCAGGTCCCCTCCGTCACAGTATTCAAGGACCTCAAAATCAAGCCCGAGGCCAAGATCGAGGACGGAGGGCGCACTCAGCAAACGCCAGGTTAGCTGAGCTCTGAGCAATCGAGATCGTCTGGCTGTCTTCGAAGTAAGTGTACAACTTTGTGACGTTTTCATGGTCACAGGCTCTGAGTATATCGATCTCCAGTTGAATTTCAGCGCGCTTTGCTCCCTGCCAGTATGACTGAAGCTTGTCGATCTGCTTAACCGCCACAAAGTGGTTGGTCTTCCTGTCCACCGCACGCCAAACCGTGCCAAAGCCGCCCTGCCCCAGCTTCACCTTCTGCTGAAAGTACCTCAGGCAGCACCCTGCCCGGTCGGATCCCACCAACACAATCGACCCTTCATGCGGTTGAGGTGCGCGTCATCCACGCTTTGCGCGATGCCCATTCACCCTGTGAGCAGTCGAAGAAGGCCGCGGCGGCATGGATAGTCTCTACATGCTGCAACGTGTACACGCTCTGTGCAATCACCACGGAACAAGTTTGGTGAGAGAAAATCAGTGTGAATTGTTGGAGCAAAGTATAGCACTGTGCATAGCACCATGCATAGCAACTTGCTTGCCTCTGTCAGTTCATGTCAATTCGTGTTGGTGTCAGCGCAGAATGAACTGACGGCAGAGGTCGGGTGACGCAGCAACATCCCCAACCTCATCCAACGTCCCAACACCAAACACCCAAAATCCCAGAAAAGAGCCGTGCCAGCTCAACCCTGATCGAAGAGCCTGTGTCAGTTAACAGTTAACATGTTTACTTTGGCGAGTGCCAAGAGAAGAAGAGGAGTTGCAGAGTGTTTCAGCAATGCGGAAGTTCAGTCAGCTTCTGCAGACTCGAAGGATGTAGACATGCTTGCAGCAACCCCTCTTCATCCCTCTTCTATGACTAAATGCTCGTCTTGCCAGCGGTAAGCGCTTCTGAAAGCATCGCCGCGTCCATCAAAGCGATATCCATCAAACATCAAGACAAACACCTCTGCACACTCTTCAGCCAAATACATCCAAATACACTCTGGGAGGGCGACGTGCTCAAGAAAGGATACTCCTACTGGAGTCCAAAATTTGGGAGCCAAGCTCACCATCCAATTGGGATTTTAACTTGTGAATCATAAGTTCTTTCGACGTAGACATCTTCCAAAGCTGTTTTCAACTAGATGCCGCAGTGAGTGTTGAAAGCCCAGCTTGGATGCTTGGGATGTCGACCCACAAGAAGAGGCGAAAAGGCAGTAGTTGCCAAGAATACCGAGAAGCTGAAGATTGGTGCAAAGCATCATAATGGAAATCGGCGTATCTTGGCCACTGCCAATGTCAGCAAGAGAAGGGCCAAAAAGAGATATACACATAATGCTAGAAAAGACACCGAGCCAGCTGAACTTTGCCAGCTACGGCGAACCTCGGAAGTACGGACCATTGAAAGGAACGCCACGAGCAGTTGATCTCCCACATTGCTTGTCAAGGCGCTTCACTTTCGCCAAGCCTCTCTCGCGTCATAGTTCACTTGGCCTGTTTCAAGGTTGAGATGGACAAGAGATGACAAGAGGGAAGTGGTTGGAAAAGGCCCCCCTGGGCTTCATTGTAACAATTACACAGGACGAACTCGTCGCCTTGCCTTCCTTTAAGGGTTCCCAAAGCTGCTGCGGCAGGCTTCGGGTTCAGAATGTAACAACGCAAACGCGATGTAGGCTGCTTCATGCCCGCCTTGCAAGTACTCGTGCAGAGCTGGCGCCAGACCGATGATCTCGGCAGGTTTCAGGGCTCAGGGCGAAAACACCTTTGCGAGACGTCCCTCAAAGCTTGGAACCTCGAACGTGGATGAGTCCCCACGTGAAGCCTGCACGCAAGTCTGCACACGTCTTCGAAGGCTGAGGCAGACACGTTGCCATATTGTCAAGACAGATGAACATGACCCTCAAATTGTCAAAGCACAAGCTACTTCTTCTAGCTATCAAAACGATCCTTGTGCTCCTTGAAGACTTCGCAGGTCTCGGGTACACTGTCCTTAGATACAGCGAATGCCACACACAGAACTCCACAAAAGCAGTGTTCAAAAAAAGCCTTCACAGTGCTCCATCGCTGCAGGCAACGGTGATGAAAATCTTCTCGAAGCCAGCGCCTTCAAACTTCTTCCAAGACCTGAATCAGGTCAGGCTAGCTTTCGACGACTATTCCACAAGCGAGGGCTGCACGTGGACACTTCAGTTTGGGATAACTTGGGAACTTGGGAATCCAGCTCAGCATGGACAAGAAGCCGGATTTCTACCTCTATCTTGGACTGTCGTCCGGCATAATTACCACCGTAGCACGTTGGACTCGTCAGTTTCGCCTTCAAAACTGTCATATCTTTGAGGCCTGGCATCATGGGAGGGTGCCAGATATATTGCCTCCTAGCCATGACTGTCACGTCCTCTGAGGCCCTCACCCAAGAGGAAACACACCGTGTGTGACGAAGACTGAAACCTTCCAAGCATCGATGAGGGTACTGCAACTATGCTGCACTGGGCTCTAGTGGGCTCTAGTCGCCCAGCCTTCTTCGCACCACGCTTGGCCAGCTCTTCCCTGCAAGCCAGCACCGTCCCACCTGCAGACAGAAAGAGCATTCCCAAGCAGCTTCCCCCTTTTCCACTTTGGTTCCCTTTTGCGTCCTTTCTGCTTCAAGCGTCAGTATGGCTAGGTCCTGGCCGGCCGTTGCGGAAAGGAGGGCAACATTCCGGTCACTTAAAAGGACAGGCCAATTATTCCGTCATCATGTGCAGCCACATCGGGCGGGAGGCGATTTACATTCGCAGCAGCAAGGCCCAGCATCCGCTACAGCATGAGAGCAAAGACCAGCGCAATGCTGACGGAGGAGAGGTGACTTGCACCTGCTGAAGCGCCCCTTTGTGCACCGCCACCTGCTGCGACGAGGACGCTCTGTCTGGTCAGGACCAGGAAAAGTTCGGGCTAGAAGGACATAGTCTTGTTGAACCAAGGATATCCGCCTCGGCTCGTTAGAGGGCAAAGGCCGCCAGAAAGTGGTCACAAGTCCGGCTCCGGAGATATTTTGAAGGCCATGATGAATGTCAACAGACAACATCCGCTTGAACCGGAAGGCGAAAGCCACCCATCGATTGCAGACTGTGAAGTGACGATGCCTCAGGCACTGTAAGTCCTATTGCTTTGTGACTCGAAGCTACTAGACTAGCTCTAACCTTCTGCGCCAGCTCTTCCCTGCAAGCTAACTTCTGTGCCACCCGGATACATTTGAATAATTACAAGACTCCCAAGCACGGGGCTTCCCCTTTCCCACTTCGGTTCCCCTTTGCGTCCTTTCTGCTTTCGCCATCACCCCAATCTGCAGTATGCGCTCGGCACTCCTGGCCGGCCAAATTCGTGAAAGCTGCGCTGCTGTCACGTCTGGCTGTCAGAGGGTGGCTTCCTGCCACACCTGCACGAAGCATGGTTTACACGGTTTACACGGTTTATGCTTGTCACACCAGCCACCTCCCTGACAAAGCGCTGGAGAGGCACAGCCTGCGCACGTGGATCGGACTCGTTTGAAAGGAGGACCCTGCTTCAAAGCAAACTTGAACGTGGGATTGAGCAGGGTCGCTTCGGACCAGCTCGGTTGCTTTCGCAACGTAGTGCACACATGGCCAGCATGAGTCCCGGATGTGTCTCACATCATCCCTCTGCTGGGCACGATATCTACGTTATCTATTCTGCTCTTTTCCATATCGGTCCATGGACTCTGGTGGCAGACTTGCTACCGCATGCTAGTGCGATGTTTCTCGGAAAGCGCGTCAGGCGAGGCGCAGCATTCGCTGGAGAAGGAGGGCAAAGACCAGTGGAAAGCTGACGGAAGAGAAGGGACTTGCACCTGCCAAGGCGGACATCGTGCAAGCCTGGCCGTCCCAACAGTATCCTGCTTGGCAAAGGCAAACGCCATTCACGCATGTAGAGTGGCCAAGCCAGCACGAGGTGCTACAAGTGGTCGACGTATCCCTTTCACAAGCTTCAGCTGCCCGTGTGACGCTCTGCTTGGTCAGGACCAGGAAGAGTTCGGGGGAGAAGGACATGGTCTTGTTGAAGGTTTCAACGATGTCCGCCTCGGCTTGGGTCGTTGGAGGGCACAGGCCCCCAGAAAGTGGATCGGTCACAAGTCCGGCTCCGGAGATGTTGTTGAAGATCACTCGGAGCGGGAAGGTGTAGCCCCCAGGAATGAAGCCCGTTTTGGCAAGATCATCCCGGTTCAGAGCTTGAGGCGGCGTGTAACTGCACCCGGCGGCTGTCTGACAAGAGTTTGCAGACGGACAGTAGGAGAGGCCTCAGTCTCATGGACGTGCAACACATCATGTAGCACATCAAGCAACACATCATGCAACACACCTGAACCTCTCAGCATGCGACCATACAAACGCCGGCACTGCTGGCACTCCATAAAGTCGCCATTTCGACTGCCGGGCGCGGTGACAATGCAGAAGTCTGCTTGATTGAAGCTGTTGAATCGTCGGCGGCGATGGTCCCCATAGGCATCTCCGTACATGTTGTTCCAGGCATACATGGCGCCTGCCCCAACCACAGCTCCTCCCAAAGCATACATGGCGACATTCGTTGGCTGGTTGGCTGGGACCGCACCGTAGCCGGAATACCCGTACGTGGTCTGCTGTGGCATCGTGCCGCCGTAGTTGTTCATCATCTGAGGACGGCTGGTGTATCCGTATGGAAGGCTCCTCCTCCGTCGTGTGTCCACCACATTAGCCGGGGCTCTCCGGCGTGGAGATGTAGTGTATGTATTTCCACTCATGCTGGTGGTGCGCCGGCGGGTGGCCACTGGGGCAGGCACGGGCGGAGGAGGCGCGCGGCGTCGCACAGCTCGGCGGCGAGGTGAGACAGGTGCCCGGCGGCGAGGGTAGGAGGCCGTGGGGGCAGAGAAGGATCGCCTGCGAGGGGATGTCGGAGGTGCTGGCGGCGAGCGTCGGCGGCTGCCACTGCCTCATCTGATAAACATTCACGAACAAGAGAAAATATGCCAAAACAGCTGGTCAGTGGCTAAGTCGATGTCTTAAAGCTTATTTGCTTGCTCGTGTTCCGACGTCCTTCAGGGCTTATGGTTCCTTAATTCTTCACTGCGCCGGAGCTGTACACAGGGGCAGCAAGGCTACCTGTGCACTTGAAACACGAACCTTCCGGGATCTCATGCCGCAGTTCTGTCTTCTGCTGGACTTTTTGAATAACTTCCCAAGAGAATCACAAGCGTCGGCTGTATGTCTGCATGCACAGAGATTCTGCACCGTGCTGGTAAGCACTTTCATTGCGCAACTCTCCAGCACATGGCATCTGCGGACAAAACATGCAATGGTCGGGATTAACCATTGTGTGACGGCTATAGAGGCCTTGGGTCAGGAGAGGGGGGGGTCAAAATAGTGGGTTTCCACGGCTTTCGTTGTCGTGTGTGGGGGCTGGACACTTGGCCGTTGTGTGGCATCTTTTTCGAGGCTTTTTGTGGCTTTACTCGCCGTCTTGGGTGAGAAACGGGCTGTCGATCCCCGCCTGCTGGGTGAAGGACGATTGCTGAAGCCTACGTACGCCGCTTCGTGCAATTCAGATACCTTCAGTTCATGAAGCAACTATGCCAGCGACACTCTGGCATGCTTCTGGCTCGCAAATTCGCTACATCGCGCCAATTTCAGGCTCCTGACTCGTCCTGGCCCTCCATTTGATGCATTTGCCAATCCTTGAGGTGCTGAGAGTCCAATGATGTCACGGCGAAGTTTTGTCTGGCCAAGACTACAACTGCAACGTACTTCTATCGAGCCGCAAGCATCTCACAGGAAAGGTCAGTGTTTGCAGAGAGGCTCAACTAGGAAGTGATGGATTTGTTTGGTACATGTGTCCATTCGGATGGGGCCCGCACTGCTCCAGCTTCCACTGCTTGAGGAGGACCTCCTGCGCGACATGTGGCACTAAGATGCCTTCAACCCAGCAAGTGTAGGTTTTAGGGTTTCGGGTTTAGGGTTTAGGGTTTAGGGTTTAGGGTTAGGGTTTAGGGTTTAGGGTTTTTGTCGTACACTGAGCCCAAAACGAGCTGATCCGAGGAGCTGACCTGCTGCCTCCACGCCGACGAGCTGAAAGCAAACGGGGGTGGGCAGATTCATCATCCAACTCGCCCTGGATGTCCAGGTCGTCCATATCCTCCTCTACTTCCCAGGTACCAGACTCTTCAAGTCGCCTCAACGCACGTCGCCTGGTAGCAGTGCACGTGTCCAATGTTTCATTGTAGATCGTGGATTGGTCGTCACCTCAAAGTCTGGAAATAGATCGTTCGGGACCCTGCGCTACATCGACGGCAACAGTTTTGGCTTGCGACGTCCCTATTTTATTGCTGCTAAGATGACAACACACTGCTCTAGCAGCAGCTAGCTGAAGACTGCTGAAGCCTAGCGGCATGTCTCGTAGCTGAAGTAATAGCCGATGCCGAGCCAGGACTGCTTCGCAATCGGGCAGCTGATGTTGACATAGCACCAGGAATCACAACACCATTCATGGTCTGCAGAGGTGTTCCAACCAGAATGTTCATTGTGATACCAAGTATCCTTGCAGGGGCTGATGGGTGGAGACACGGTGCTACGACCACAAGTGGCCACTTCGACCCTTCAAACTGCAGAGCAATGCTATGCTTTGACAATTTCTTACTGCCGTCTCCATGGATGTCAGGATGCAGCGTTCGAAGCGACTAAAAAAAAAGGAGCCCTCGGCCCGGACAATGCTCTTGGCCATCCTTCGACCACTCTTTTCAAGGCAGGCTAGCGGCTAGTGTGGCTAGTGCTGCTCTACAATCAGCTAGCTGATGCACTCGACTAGCAAGTCGCAACTACATGCGGAGCGGCTGCGACGGCAGGCGTTCGAGAATGTAGCCCGAGCTCGGTCTGCGGAATGTTCTGCAAACGGTCGGTTTGCACAGCGTGCATACACGAAGATACCATGCAGTACAAAAAGGGCCCCATCACCTCTTGCGTCGGCAATCTGTATATATATGTGTGCAAATCTATCCGGCACCTGTCTTGTGTGTCGGTGCGTGCCCGCCTGCGGAGCATGCGTGGACTTCGAAAATGCTGTGCTTGGCCACATAGTTTCTAGAGCACTACGACTCGCCAAAGGTAAGCCTATCTTTCCGAACCACAGCGGCTCTAGCAGAGGCAGCGCTTCTGGGCGAGCCTTGTCCCTGTGTCCGTGGCAAAATTAAATCGGATCCGAAAGTCCTTGTCTGGTCACATTCATGAGCCCTCACGTGAAGAAAACTTGAGAGGCAAGCGAAGGTTTTTGCGTTTGCTGAATGCAAGTGCTTTTGAACAGTCGAGAGTGTCCCCACGCATCCCGAAAGCATTTCACCCACACCTCTCGTGCACCAGCAATCACAATGCCTTTTCTCGCCTGCTTCTTTTCGAAGACAAAGGGACCATCCTGGCCTGTGTCGGATTCCGAGCACACCCACATGCCCACGCCAACCCAGCCCCCAATTCCCTTCGTATCGAAACGACACTTCCTCCCCACCCATTCGCGGCAGGGTGGTTCTTGCTGCGAAAGTAGGATCGAAGCCAACACCGAGACATGCTTTGAAGCGCAGTGGGGTGCGGTTTTCCGGCTTTTTTGCGATATGAACACATGACAAGAGGGGCGCTAACGAAAGCCTGATGGGCCCAGAGAGCCTCGCATGCTCTTGCCTATACGTAGGGAAGAGTATGGGAAGAGTATGGGAAGAGTATAGGGAAGAGTATGGGAAGAGTATGGGAAGAGTATGGGAAGAGTGAAAGGGGCGAAAGGAGTGAAACAGGAGTCATGGTCGTACTTTCCTTTGTGGGATTTTAGCCAGTGTGGAAGCCCCCGCCTTGCAGGAGCTGCTATCCCAAGCACCGCATGAGCTGCCATAGTTTGAGGCAAAGGTACCCGGAAGCGAGCCAGATGGCAAATTGCCACGACACGCGCAGGCTTCCAGGTCATACTTGCACCCTGAAACAACGTCCGTATCCATCTCACACCTGGTCTGGCTCCAGAAGTTTCCGGGCCATACCGTTGAAGCCCGAGAGGTGGGACAGCTCTTATCAACCCAGCACCATGACATGCAGCACCACATCCCATGGTTTGCACCAGGGTACGTGATTTCGCAGATGTTTGCATCGTGAGGGCCGCACTGCTGACCATAGAGCGCATAGCTTGAATTCAGCCCAACACTTTGAAGGCTTTCAAGCGGCATCGTGGCATTTAGACAGTCGCATGAGGTGTCACTCGTTGACACATTGGGTGTTGGCTTGTAGGGGCACTGTGCCACTAAAGCCGGATCGTCGTTACAGACGTTGTCTGACCAGAACAGAATTCCCTCCATGCCCGGGTTCAAAGACTGGATTGCGCTCGGGCACGCCTTGTCAACGTAACACCAGCTAGCACAGCACCATGTGTCGACCTGATCTGGGCGATAGTTCGTGGCACAGTTCTGCATGTCCCAAGTGGCACATGATTCGCCATAGTTGCTCGCGAATGTTGCATTCATGGCTGTACTGAACAGGCTGCCAGAGTACTTGCATTTACACGGGTCGTTGGCTTCAGCTACTGCCGTCCACGTGCAGGGTGATGCTGGAGCGAAGCTATTGCAGGCAGCGTAGCTGAAGAACTGGCCAGGCATCGCCGTGCTTTGGTAGGCATCTGGGCAATCTGATGTTGCATAGCACCAGGGCCTGCAGCACCAGGAACCAACCGTCAAGTCACCTCAGCATGGGGCTCTTGCTGCGGGCATGTGAAACTAGCATACCTACGCAAAAGATTGCTAGAAAGGAAGATTCAAGCCAAGACGCCCCAGAGTTCATCACACTTTGCATTGTCCCAAGCCTGGCACTGACTCCCATAGTTCTGTCCATATGTAGCCGCCACTTGCGTTGGGATGGTGGGCATTGTGCACCTGCAGTTGCTGGGCACCGTGTTGCTCAATTTCTCGAGGGTGACAACAGTGTCAGTCACCACGGTCAAGTTGTTGGCATCTACAATCCTGAAGTCGATTGTCACGGCCTGCGAATTGCACCACAAGCCGGCTGGACAAGCTAAGGTTAAGTGAACCCTGGGTAAACCCGATCCCTCAAGGCTAAGGCTACTACTGCTTCTCGCATGTCGTACAAGTTGTTGCACTGCCTCCTGGCTCGCGCGGATAAAGCTGACGATGTACGGAGAGCTCATGTCGATTGCGCTCGTAGACGGGATGTACAAATTGTAGTCCGCCAATGCTGGAGCATCTGACTTGGTGCTCACAGGCTTTGGGCACATTACCTTCAGGAGTCTCACATGCTGCTGTCAACTGAGGTCGACTGTGGCTGGAAAGTTTCAGCTAGCTTAGGTTTAGGGGTTTAAGTTGTGCCTCTACACCCCCAGGTAGCCCCTGTTTCATCCACGCTCACCTGCGCAACGTCAACCAGATGCATCGTCTCAGAGGAGGCGCGCCCCACAGCAAAGAGAGTGAAGAAAAGCGGCTGCCACATGGTGAGACGAGGCGAGGCCATGATGGCACTACGTCGTCAAACAAGCACTTGAGCCTGCAAGGCACCCATCGGTTGCAGAGCTTGCGCAGTGACCACTTCGTCAAGGGTTCCCCAATGGCACCCTTGCACTCCAAAGCTGCGGTGGGCATTCAAGCTTTTTTCTTTTTGGCTTCGACTGGGCCCTTTCAAGTTGAGCCAGTTGGTCATGTCCCGTTGCAAGCTACAAGCAGCCTGGAGCACGCGGGCAAGCATACACGCGTCCGTCGTGAAGCTTCCAGGTCCGGCACTAAGACTCTCGACTAACGCTTGTCAACGGCAATACCGAATCTGACTTCTCGCCCTTCCACCTGCAGTCTAAAAAGCGGTCCACTTCCACAATGTCACGGGCTCTTCATCCTGCGCGACTTCTCTGAAGGTCACGTAGCCAGGGAGTGTGGGTGTAGCAAACATCGACTAGGCCGCCTTCCTTCTCCACCTGGTGCAGGCAGCGTATCGACTCACCACTGAGTTGATGCTGCGCCAAAAAAGGATAGTCACTCCAGTTGCCAGTAAACGGCAAATCTTCCGATTCGCCATCATCCATGTGCAAGTAATGGTACCTCACCGGAAGTCCACTCCAATTGGCTCTATGGACAGCAATGCCGACTGCTTTGTCCTCGTTCCAGGACAGAGGGGGTCCCATGAACTTCTCGACGACTGATCTAAGGAGCCCTGACCCAATCACATATCCTGGGCCTCCTGCCATGTGAAATGGATAGAAAGGGAATGGCCAGTTCTCCCAGGGATCGTAGTTGGGACTGTCTGTGCTGTTGAACCACCAGTCAGTCCTGTTGACCATATCTGGCAGACCCGCCTTGAGATTCATCCAGAACCGATGCAAAACACATGCAGAATCCTCGTTGAAGCTACAGGCTCTTTAAGACTTTTTGTGAGATTTTATGACATCTCAGGCACATAAGCGTGGTCCTTCGGTGTGAGGTGGTGCAGCCGAGGGCACAGACGGCTCCAGGCCACGAAGGTGTCATCATCGACCTTCATGAACAGCTCCTAGAAGTCAGCGCAGTGAAAGAAAGATCGGTCACATGCTGCGCTCTTATCCTCATGGGCCGTTCCCAATCAGCCGAGGAACAGCAGACGACCGCAGCAAGAAGTCCTTCATGCCGGCCAGGACCTTCTGCACCAACATTCCATGGCCATAGCCCTCTTTGCAGTCCAACAGTTGTATGTCTCTGAAGGTCTCGACTTCGGCGTTTAGCCGCTCGGCTTCACGAGACGGGAGCGGCGGCTGATTGCAGACAACGAACTGAAAGATGACCCGGCACTTATCACGACTGGCATCTTGCCAAACCTCTCTGACAGCAGCTCGTCGCGCGAATCCGTCCGGTCTGGAAAGTATGATGGCCCATACAGTCGTATCATCTGGCCAAGTGACACGCACCGCGGCATAGCTCAAGCAGGCTACGAGGAAAGCTGTGGCTCCAATCCAGTGTGATTGGGACATTTCGCGGCTTAGGATGAATGGAGAATAGCGCCGGGTTTTCTTGTTTCTGCTTGGCATGGTGCACTTGCTTGACATGCTGATGCGCACAGTCAAACTGAAGAAAACAACCAGAGAGGGCCTGTGTTGCAGAGGTCATCCACGATGAAGACGTGCTTTCCTTCCGGGTCACCTTCTGCAACTCGAACGACTCTCTTCTCTCCTTCGCGGACTTTGCTGCAGAAGAGGACCTTGAGGGCCGCAGAGGAATTTGAGCACTTTTGATCTCGCGGGACACTGCATGGGCTAATAAGGCTCCAGCAGGATAACCCGCCTTTTCAAAGAATCCGCCGAAACGCTTTTTGGCCCCCTCGTCTGGGAAAGCCACAGCAACGGCCTGCACTGCAAGAAGAACAGGTGAAGCAGACTGTTGGCTGGGAGTTGTAGTTGTAGCCTTCTGGATGCAACAGCTGGCAGACGCGTGACCAACCCAGCTCCTACACCTGCACCCGCAACCGGGCCTCTGCACCGAATCCTCGGACGTGCATACACAGGCATTTCTCACAGAGTTGGGTCTTAAAGAATTCGCGATGATCCGAGTGTCGCATCTTCAGCAGGTTCAGCAACAAGGGCATCGCCGACAGCAGAACTGGAAGGATGGTGTCTTGAAAGTAGAACCTACGAGAGCGTGTGCAAAACATGTAGACAATGACTCCCAATGACTCCCAATGACTCCTCACTTTCAGATGTATTTCAAGGCCCATTGCCCTCCCGCAAGCGCCTGATTTGCAAAGCGTGGATGTCGAAGATCAAGAACCGAGCGGGGCCCCCGGGGGTCATGGGCACAGCGGAGATCATCCGCGAAAGTGTGGAGGCCGTGGCCACCTCCCCTTCTCGATCTACTCGCTCCATCGTCCCAGTTGGGAAGAAAGGTAGTAGCACAGTCAGCGACCTGCAGCCATAGCGGGGGATGGCATAGAGCAGCGACAGCCTCAGATGACAGATGCGTCCTCTCACATGGCGCGGCTCCCCGTGACGACCATCGCCCACTGCGAACGCGAAGTCTTGGGGCACAGCTGGTCCAGCAAGATCTCTTTGCCTTAATTTTGCAGGTTGCTGATGTTGCGACGAACATGTCAAGACCTGAAGTCCTGGGCTCCGAACGTCGCATGTTCAGCAGGAGGAGGACATGGGCCGGCAGCAGTCGGTGAACTTCCTCGATGAAGATGTTGGGCATGCCAGACTCGAACTCGCCTTGAAATAAAACAACAATCTCTTCCATCCAGAAAGAAAGTACATTGATGAATCAGCTGGATAATGTGAATGGATGCCAACTCCTTCCTCTGCTCATTCGTTTGCAGGCCGGGATGCGCCAGTCGACTTTAACCTGCGCGCTCTCTTCAAGTTTCGGGCACAGAAGATGGGATGTGACATATCATGACACAACTTGTTATGAGATATGGAGAGCCTGGCCTCGGAGTACGACTGTGGCGACAGGGTAATGAGCGCGTCCCTCAGTTGTCCGGTTGGGTCTTTGCCTTGCAAAAAACACACAGAGAGAGAGAGAGAGAGAGAGAGAGAGAGAGAGAGAGAGAGAGAGAGACACACAGAGAGAGACACAAACACACACGGTCTCGGGCTCCTGGGCCCCACCTCCCCCCCACCGCAAAGGTATCCCCCACCGCCCCGATGGAACCCGCCCCGGCACCATGGTATCCGCCCTTCCCGGCCCCCCGCCAAACCCCAAACCTCTCCCTAAACCTTAAACACCTTAAACCTCACACCCTTCACCTAAACCGTAAACCTTTAACCCCAAACGCCAACCCCCTTTCACAGCACAGGCAGGGGAAAGCTTAAACCCTAAACTGATGAAAGCCGTAAACATTAAACCTTAAAGCTTAAACCTTAAACTACCCTGAACCCTAAACCCTCAACCACACCCACACCACGGGGGGGGGGGGGGGGGGCGGCGGCAGGGAGCACGGGCGGCCGGTCTCTTAAACCTTCAACCCCGAATCCTAACCCCAACCCCCCGATCACACCACGGGCCTAAACCTGAGACCCTAAACCCCTAACCCTAAACCTTAAACCCTAAACCTTAACCTCGCAACCACACCCACACCACAGGGGGGGTCGCGGGGGTAGAACCCTAACCCCCCAACCACACCCACACCCCAGGGGGGGCGGGGGGGAATGGGGCTAGGGATCCAAGCGGGGGTGGCAGCCCGAGACCATGCATGCTTGGGCTCCTGACTGCCCCGTAGATATCCCGAGCAGTGCAGCGAAGGCGCTTGATATGGTTCATGGATGGGTGCGCGACGATGATGTACTTGTTGCTTGGTCGCGACTCAGACAGCACAGCCTTGACCACATGATGATCATGGCTCCCCCTCAAAACTTGCGGGCAAATGTTGAGATGGCCTCGAGCTGACTGACCACCATCTCACGAAGGCCATCGTCCTGTCTATGCTCTTTCCGAGTCGTGTTGCGAATCTACCCCGTGCATGTCTTAAGGGGATGTTGAAGCATGGCGGAAGCAGCGTACGGGCCTCCAGAGGTCGTTTCCGGGAGCTTGTCTGCGATGCCATTGCGCAACTCTTCTGCGCGGCTACGGTCGAATGCTGGCTCTTGAACTGCTCCTGTTTATCAAGCTTATCCGAATCTATCCGGAGCTCTATTCGCTTGACTCGGCGAGTACAACTCGTTGATGTGGTCTCTGCGGATGCTCTCGACACACACCTTCTTCATGCATGTGTTGAATCAGCTGTCCAGGCCAAACCAATCAGCTGTCCACGCCAAACCACTCATAGCTCAACGTGGCTCCACGACATCTGCACAAAAACCAAGTGCACCCACAGGTGACGCTGTCCTGGCAGCCTCGAATTCGGAGCTTTGCGGACTGCAGCGCACAAGCTTCTCGTAAGCAGCCTTGCCACACATCTGGGGCCACAAGCAACGGATAAGCTGGATTTGAATGTGTTGAAAAACAGCCTCACATGCTGCGGCTCGTGGGTTGAAGTGGCTCGCCACCTGGTTGCCAAGCAAGAAGCAAGAGCGCTGAATGCCTCTGAGATCCTCTGAGATCAGCAAACTGCGCGCGCTACGCGCGCGCATGCTAGGCACAGCTCAGTGGATGAACCAAGCAGCGCCTATACAACGACACAATGTCAAGCATTAACCAGCGTCTCACGGCCGTTAGAGTACACTTACGGACTGAAGCGGCCGTCGTTCCGAAACTCAGCTGATGGCACCCATGCTATGCTTGTTGTGCCAAGTTGTAAGTTGGCCCCAAGATTTGGGCGCCTTGTTGTGGATCCTCCAGTGGAGTGCGAATCGTCGCATTTCCTGTCCAGCATTGCCCAAATCGATTCACCCTACGCATCATGCGGCAGTTAGCCCAGTGAGTTACAGCAAGGCTAAATCTCCAACATATTATGCCGGCGTAGACCCCAAACAGTGAGGAGGGCCAGAAAAGGCCAAAGAAGGCCAGAAGAGCACCGACACTCGCGGGGACAAAAAGTACAAATTAAAAGTTCGTGAGGGGCCGAATTCCCTTGGGGGTCAAAAAGACGCCAACCACTGGGCGATTCGGCTTTGCACGAACTTGGGGGCCAAAAGACCCAGCTGATGCTCATGATGCTCAACCCCAAAATCGCTACCCCATTATAACCCCCGGCACCCAGCCGCAGGGTTGACCCTAAACCCTAAACCCCCCCTAAACCCTGTGTTTTTATTGATCCTGCCCCCAAATGGTCTCACCGCGCGCTCCGTTGCGGTCGGCAACCTAAGTGGCCCCCCCAGAAGAGGCCTGAAGAGGCCACGAGAGGCCGGAATTCGCGCGAAACCACAGCGGGAGCATCGAAATGCAACGGAATTCGCGCGAAACCACAGCGGGAGCATCGAAACGCAACGGAACTCGCGCGAAACCACAGCGGGAGCATCGAAACCAAGGCCCCGTCCCACCGCGCGCCGTTGCGGTCGGCAACCTAAGTAGCCCCCCCAGAAGAGGCCTGAAGAGGCCACGAGAGGCCGGAATTCGCGCAAAACCACAGCGGGAGCATCGAAATGCAACGGAATTCGCGCGAAACCACAGCGGGAGCATCGAAACGCAACGGAATTCGTGCGAAACCACAGCGGGAGCGTCGAAACCAAGGCTCCGTCTCAGCGGCGCGCCGCGAAACCACAGCGGGAGCATCGAAACCAAGGACCCGTCCCACCGCACGCGCCGTTGCGGTCGGCAACCTAAGTGGCCCCCCCAGAAGAGGCCTGAAGAGGCCACGAGAGGCCGGAATTCGCGCGAAACCACAGGGGGAGCATCGAAACACAACGGAATTCGCGCGAAACCACAGCGGGAGCATCGAAATGCAACGGAATTCGCGCGAAACCACAGCGGGAGCATCGAAACGCAACGGAACTCGCGCGAAACCACAGCGGGAGCATCGAAACCAAGGCCCCGTCCCACCGCGCGCCGTTGCGGTCGGCAACCTAAGTAGCCCCCCCAGAAGAGGCCTGAAGAGGCCACGAGAGGCCGGAATTCGCGCAAAACCACAGCGGGAGCATCGAAATGCAACGGAATTCGCGCGAAACCACAGCGGGAGCATCGAAACGCAACGGAATTCGTGCGAAACCACAGCGGGAGCGTCGAAACCAAGGCTCCGTCTCAGCGGCGCGCCGCGAAACCACAGCGGGAGCATCGAAACCAAGGACCCGTCCCACCGCACGCGCCGTTGCGGTCGGCAACCTAAGTGGCCCCCCCAGAAGAGGCCTGAAGAGGCCACGAGAGGCCGGAATTCGCGCGAAACCACAGGGGGAGCATCGAAACACAACGGAATTCGCGCGAAACCACAGCGGGAGCGTCGAAACCAAGGCCCCGTCCCACCGCCGCGCGCACCGTTGCGGTCAGCAACCAATTCCTTTACTCTGAAAGAAAAGAAAGAAAAGTGAAACAGACGAATAAAATTGTATTTTAAGGGGTCTTTTTGCCCCGTTCATTAATAATTAGTAAAATGAAGTGTAAAAAGATTATAAATTAAAAAGTTGTATTATAATAACACTAATTGTAAAGGAGAAAAGGAATACACTAATAATGAACGGAGTGAATACAACAATTTTATATGAAGTGAATACAATAATTATGGTCTTTTTACTATTTTATTGTGTTCTTTCGTTCAATCACTTCGTTCTCTTCGAAAGCGAGAAATCCAGTAATAAAAGCCTTTTGAGGAAATAATAGTATTCGTATTCGTTCAGATAATAGAAAGATAAATAGAATAGAATTACGGGGATATAAAAATAAAGGTGAAAGAATATTCTAAATTATGAAATTAATTCACTCGCTACACCTTTAATAAGATTCCTTAAAGAGTGAACAAATTATATGATTTAGAAAAATATAAATAAGAAAGTGGAAGACGAAACGAAATTAAAATATTAAATTGGGGCTTTTTGCCCATTCCTTATAATTTGTATTTCTTATTGGTACTAAAAGGGAAGTCATTCATCCAACTATAAGGCCCTTTCACCTCATTCATTAGGATCTCTCACTCATTATAAAACTACTAAGTATAAAGAGAACGGAGTGAAAGGAAAGATATAAATTAGAAGAACGAAAAAGACAAGAAATTTATTGCATTTGCCCGCGGATTTATTATTATTGCTCGCGGGGTAATATTCATAATAGTGTATTATCTTCACTTCTTATTTCCTCTTTATTTTGCTCTTTTAGTAATCTTTTCACTCACTTTTTCTACATTCTTTTTATTAGCTTGTTGAAAATAGACCCCATTGTGCAAGCACTGTTTGGGGAATCTCACTGACATGCTCGTTTTTCGTCGTGAGTCTGGACACGCACTTGTCCTAGGCACACTCACAAGCTCACCTCCGGAACTGCGAAGCGTCTCCGCTCGCGGACACCATCATAGCGATAAGCCTTTGGAATGGGAAACCTGTCATGCACAATCGTTTATGCTTGCTGTGCTGCTGTGGCTGGGAGAAGATCATACTGCAACAGAGCCACTCCAAGTTCTCGGTGTCACTGCTGTAAACCTTGGCACTGGCTCACGGCTAAGCCATCACATGAAGGGCCAGGGCCAAGCCAGATGGCAAAACCTTCCTTGCCGAAGGTTGAATTGAAGACTTCGTGATGTGACTTGGATCTGACATGGCCTCGCTACAGCTGCAATGACTACGGTAGTTACAGCGATGGCATCGCACAACAGGACAGCAGCATCCATGAGGATGACTGTAGCACTGTAGCAGCACAAAACAGGACCAAGCCTGAAGGAGTTGTGCCCTTAAGACTGTTCATGCTTAGTGGGCCTCCTGATGCTGGCGTCGCGCTTATGGGAAAAGACTCGCTGCATACCCAGGGACACGGAGGAGGCGGACGCCATCAATGCTCTTCAGCGCAGCTCGACACATCGGACAGTTCCGGCGCCCTGGCAGTAGGGCTCATGGGCTTTGTTGCATCTGACACGTCCTTAACAAGACTTCACTGCCCCCAAGTACCAGCCTCCGACAGAAGCCTTCAGGGCTTGCATCAAGCCTGAAGACATGGGGACGAATGTGCAAAGGTTTGAACTGATTGCAATGTCAAGCACGGTCTTCCGTCCGATCTGACCATTCAAGCTGCCCCATGTCAGAAGTGAAGCGTGCATCACACCAACATCAACTTGCTCAGCTTTGGCCTGGCTGCACTGGGTTACTGGGTCTAGCGGCGCTCTCGCTCTCACGACGCGACGCTGGCGTACGCTGGCGTAAATCAAGGCCATGCGGCCCACTGTACACAAACCCAGAGCCCAGCCATGGATGGCTGTCCCCGAAGGGACACCCAAAGTGGGCTCATGTTGTTACGACTCCGGATCTGTCCTTCTCATCAGAAAACAAGCCCCTGCAAAATCCATATGGGACCCCAACTTGTCACCTTCACGATCCCACCCAGACCCGAATTTGAGGGAGCCTGCGTTATGAGGGACTGGAAGACACTTGCTTCCCTCACGGGTCACTCCAGATCCCAGTATTCATCGTCCAGGCCGCGGCACGTCCTCGTCCTCTTCAGAGTTTTTAAAGTGTAAGAGACCTGCTACTCCAGGCTCAGCAGAACTCGGTACAATCTCAACGATTCGTGACGCAAAGATGTTCAGTCCATCTCATCGTTCAGCCCGACGATCTGCTTTACATCCGGGATGTAGTGATCCATCCTTGTGGGCTTGTGGGCATGAGAACAAGGCCCGGCGGGACAAGCGCATTACATGCAGCTCAGCTCCGCACAGGTTCCGAACGCCTTCCTGGAGTGTGGCATGGGACTGCGAGCAGCCGGAGCAGGACCCAACCATCTTTAGGTACAAGGTGCCGTCTGCATGGTCAAAGCCTGCAGCCCGCTCAACAACCCGGGCCACACAACTGTCAGACTGTCAGCGGGTCAGGCACATTGTACATGGTCAACAGCGCAAATATTCTGCGAAACGCTTGAGACTAAAATGAACCCTATTTGTTGAGTGATGGTCAAGGCAAGCTGCGCACGAACTCAATGTCACCACCATCTTGCTGAACGAAAGGCTTCACTCGCTCCTGCTCAAGGAAAAGAGGAAAGTACCTCAAGTCTCATGTACTCTCATGCAGTCAGAACAGGCAAAACCACGCAAGAGAACTTGGAATCTTCGACCAGTCTTGGCGCACCAAACGACGGCTTTGCAGCTTAACCCTAAACCCTAAACCCTAAGCCCTAAACCCTCAAAGCGCTCCTCCAGAAGCTCCAGAATCTGTGCCTCGAGGCTGCCTTCTTCGAAATCCTTTCAGGCAAGCAGCGAATAGAGTTCAGGGTTCAGGGTTCAGGGTTCAGGGTTTAGGGTTCAGGGTTCAGGTTTAGGGTTTAGGGTTCAGGGTCCAGGGGTTGGAGCTGGGAAGCGATCGTGAAAGGACTTTCCCACGCCTGCGGGTCTGTTGACTCCACTGCAGACGGCTCGATGACCTGGTGCCCGGCCTGGAGTTCACACCGCGTTCCTTCCCTTGATCTCCCTGTGAAATGGGAGGGCATTTGGGAGATTCGGGGGACATCTGTGGAAAAGCCTGTGCTGCAGTGGATTGCTTTGAGATCCACATCCGGATAGATTCTGAAGATTCTTAAGATTCTTGGGCAGTTCTTGGGTAGATTCCCGCGACCGCGAAACCCAAGACGAAAAACAAAGGCACTGCTCAGGAGTCTTCCAGAAATCCTTAATCTTCAAATCTTCAGTTTCAGGATTAACATTCTTAACATTCTTAAGCTTCTTGGACGGCTCTTTGGTTTTCTGTCTTAAAAACATGGATGTTTGGGGGGGATACCAAAAAGATGCAAAGAACCATTGCAAGGATCTTGTCAACTGCCTCGCTGTCAAGACGGGGTGGCGCGAGAAGAGCGGACACGACCAAAACAGCACTGGTTCACAACAGACCACAAGGCGGATCCTGGGAAAGCTCACACCGGGTTCCCCACACCTCATGTGGGAATTCACACATAAATCAGGGGCCCTTTTTGGATCTCCACTATGGAGTGTGCTTCAAGTTCACACAATCCCGCACCTTCACAATAATTGCTAGAGTGGCCCCCCGCATGAAATTTCTTAGCTCGAAACAGACGATTCCTGTCTTGCCTGAATCTGGAAACCCCTGTAGGGTCGTGGTTCCTCTTAGCGATTTCGGGACCCGCAGTCGGGACCCGCTATTGACCTGCCAGGGACTTTCCAGAGTCCCTGAGCATGTCTCTCTCTGCCATGCAGATGGTTTCGCAATAGATTCGAGTTGCAGCAAGGCAAGACAGAGCCTGGAGCTCGAGGTTTTGAATGTGTGGCAGGTTTGCAGGTCGCGATACTACCACTGCTCTTGTGTGCCTTAGGTGATAGAATTGGTCGAGCCCCCGCATGCAAGCAATTGCTGGCCGTTTGTGGCAGAGGCCTGGTAGAATTTGCTGATCTCGCCTTCCACGACATCCTGCAAAAAAGACGCAAGGATGTCATACTGAAAACCGGAGCAGTGCCATCAGGCCTGCAGATCCTCCCACTCTGCCAAAGTTGACTTCGTGACAGTGACGTGCTCCGCAGCAAGCAACACCTAAGATTGCGAAGCCGAAGAGCAAACAACCGCCAGGATATCAACACTCGACGGGCTCCGGTGCAGTCGGGCTTCTTCTCGCACACCGTCTAACTCCAGCAACGACTTCGCAAGGGGAGATTGGAGAGCCTCACAACCCAAATCACTCAAGATTCAGCGTGCGCCGCAGGTGCTGCCATGCAACAAAGCCTTGCTGCTACAAGTACCAAGGAAATCGGTCTCAATCCATAAGACTTCCCTGGCCAGAAGCTAACCTATGGACCTATGGCGTGCTTGTCTGAACCCTGCACTTGCCTCGTGAGAGCTGCGGAAGAGCATGGTCCTGCATGGGCCATGGGAACTGCTTCAACAAATGCAGGTTGCTGCCAAGATTGCATCTGCCCACGACCCAGTCTTTGTTCCACGTCCAAGAACTTCACCGCCTTCCAAGACGAACTTCATGGACTTGGGATTTGGTGTCGCCTCCCAAACAAGAACGCGCATGAGAAAGCGCTTAGCAACAGGCTGCAAGAGCCTCGGCGAGCACAGATATCGGACGGAAAAGAGCCTGCCTGCAGAGTTTTTTCAGTTCCAGCTTTCATACCAGCAGAAAGAGCCACATAGACTGCCGAGTTCCTGTAAAGGTCTGAGGCGCACACAATGGCAGCGCACGCCGCAACCCCAACATGACTTCGGAGGCTAGGCTTGCCCGCAGTGGCACAAACAAAAAGTTCCAATGCGTGGGCACAGCGCGTAAGCGTACGAAAGCACTTATGTGCAAGCATGTGGTGCTGCCCTTGTGTCCAGAGTCGTCTGAAACATGCAGCAAGATGGTGCTGCTATCTTGGCTTGATCCATAAGAAGGTGTAGAACTGAATAAAAGTCACTCCGACCTCACGCGTGCAAGGTACTGAGTTCGAGGCAGTGGCGGTGAAAGACATGCCCACAGAATGTTATGGCATTACAGCCTGGTGGTCACGACGGGTCACAAGGCGGAGGCGAGGTGAGCGCCGAGCCTTCCAACCAGCAGATGGCGCACTTCTCGTCCTGCAAGGCCAAGGCATCGCGAAGTTCACAGTCGATTCACTCTCGATTCACAGTCGATTTATTTTGATTCACAGTCGATTCACAGGCACATCTGGGAGCAAAGCCGGCTGCGGCAGCTTGCACACCCCAACTCCGAGCACGCAATGGGACAACGAAGGCACAAAGCTGGTGCAAACGGCTCCTGTGCTTGGGTCTCGAAAAGATCTTCCAGGCGTTCAGTCGAGAGCTCCGTAATGGCCTCTCAGCTCAACAATGTATGAATGGACGGCACACAGCCACACTGACACAACACCTCAGCACACCTCGGCCGCCACGTCAACCGCACGATTGCTGTTAGCAGAGTAGAGGACGCAGGCTCGTGCCTTGCCACAGGGACATGAAAATTCGAGTGTCGGCTTCCTTGTCTCACCATGCCCAGGTGCTCTCTGAGAAAGGCTTATGATGGCTTATGTGCTGGTGACGGCTGCGGGCGCTGCTGAACTCTGCGCGTTGTGACCGGCAAAGGAAAGGGCAACCACAGCGGCGGTCCTGGAAGCAGCGCAACCTTCTGGAGTGGATGGTCGTTTGATGGGCGGGTAACACAATGGTGCATCAATACCCTCCGATGCTTAATCCAACCTGGCAGCGCGATAAGTGACTTGAGCAGGTTTCTAGACTATGTCTGGCAGCTCAACAAGACTGTGTCACAAGCACATGGAAGCCTGGTCTTGCCAGTCCCCGGCGGACCATGGATCAGGGTCACAGGCCTTGCCGCGGGAGGGCTACGAGATTCTGAGGCGACTTTGGGACGTGGTGTGCGTCAATGGGTCCGGGCGATGACAAGGCGGACCGCACAGCCTGGTGCAAGAGCCCCCCCGCCCGCCGCCGCCAGCAACCGTTTGCCGATGCTTACGTTCAAACTACCAGTGCATCCACTGGCCAAAACGTCCATCCAGAGCATGCGAGCGAGGACTATGTGCATGCTGCCAGTGCAGTCTCTGCCGAGTGTTGATGGTTTCGCACTTGTGCAAGACCCAGTCCCGAACTGCTGATAAGGAAATCCCGCCTCGAGCTGTGAATCATTGAGCTGGTAGTGCGACAGGTCCTTCCACCAGCCAGTGTCCAGATTCGCAGCAAGTCGGCAGACAGAAGATGACAGCTCCCAGCTCCCGAAGGAAGCTGTTGGAGTCGCGCATGGGGTCTGAAACGGGCCACTGCACACCGCCGTACCTCGAGATATATCATAGGTCGACATACAAGACCCGCCACGACTCAACGAACCGTCAGCCCTGTGCAAGATAAGGTTCTGGATCAGCGCTGCCTGGACATTTTACAAGGTAGCTGCAGTTCATAATCTGTTCACAAACAACAACCTAGGCCGCGAGCACTCTGCGGCAAGTCGGTCAAAGCGGCAACCTTCAGCACCAGCACATGGCAGCCATATTCGATGTAGGAATGCGAGACGCTGGCTTGGTAGTGGTACGTCTCCGGGAGCCACAGCAGTTCCACCACAAAGCCTCCAATCACATTAAAACCGAGCGTCGGTAGACGGTGCAGCTCCTCGCTACAGTGAGAAGACTTGCTCCAAGCTTTCCTCCTTTACACCGTTAAGGTCTGGAAACCAAACCTCCGTAACCAATGCCTTTAGATCAACTAACGCGTAGATCCAAAAAAGTGAGAGACCATGTGAGCCCAGAAGTCCATAAGCGGCGATGGTCTCGCATTTCGCGAGCCAACACGTCGAAACGCGCGACTGTCTTTTTCTTCTTTTTTGCGAACCCGGACACCCAAAAGCGACGACAGTTTCGCGTTTGGCGAATATGGACGTAAAGCGAGGGCCGTTTCGAGGACACGCCCGCGCCTAGCCGAGAGCGCGAGGGCGCCGGCGCGCACGCCGCACACCTACCGCGCCTTAGTGTGGACACGCCGTTTTGGGCAAAACTCGAAAAGTCGCATCTAGGGATTTCCAAACTCAGGGCAGCGGGCGTTTTCTATGTGTCAGCCAGAAACCAATCAGCTGGAACATTGTCCAAATCATGCTGCTTGCACCTGGAAATGGGGCCTGTGAAACGTGCACTGCGGCACTTACAGCTATATACATAAATTGCATCACAGCCTGCATCTGCTTTGGTAAGCAACGAAGGCTCGTCTGCAAATTTGCCCTTTTGGCATGATGTCGGCCCGTCTGCTCAAAACAGCGCTCCAGGCGAAACTTAGAGAAAAGTGCACGCAAGCCGGTGACAGTCTCGAGTGGTCCAGGTTCCACAAGTTGTGCTTCTGGCTGATGTTTGCACATGTTTGCACATTGCAATTCAAAGTGATGCAGAATTCAAGAACCCATGATGCTGAAACAAACTCAGTAGAGTCGGGTGCCCTGGGCTCGAAGCGCCTTCTGAACGCGTGCGAGTTAAATCTGCATATGTTCCACATTCTGAGGCACATTCTACCTCCAGAGGGTCCGGAGACGGTGTTCATGCGAGCCACACAACGTGAAGCGCATCCAGGGGTTCTATGACCAGGAGCTTTTGATCGCACGCCTCACATGCTATTGAAATTGCACCGTGCTCTCAGGGAGAAGATAACTTGCCTGGGGGGCACAAGGGCTAACTTCTGCCGGCACTGTGCCCCAAGCGACACCACCCTACGTACTAGGTACGATAAGTGAGACAAATGGCAGCTACTTGGCACCTGTAAGTTCAAACTGATGCTGCATCAGGGGGACTGATTGAAATTTGTGAAAAAAAATTGTTCAGTCCCAGATCAGCAGCTGCGGTGCACGTTTGCTTTGCCCGGGCTGCCATCGGCCGTCAGCCTCGCTAGGCTCAAGACATGCAGACTATTCCTTTGTGGGTCAACAGAGCTGTTCTCACAGCTTGAGCAACTTCTTGCATCACATGCGTGTACCTCCGGTGACCAAGCCCACAGGACGTGGGACACTCAGAGGCGGTGAAGGCTGCAGGGCCTCGGTGAAGGCCACTTGGAGAGTCGAGAAGAGGCTTCATGGGCCACAATGGCCTCCCCCCGTGCTCCATGCTTCAAAATCTTCAAGTCCCAGGCCGGACGGCTTTTGGTTCCCTCCTCGGCGCGGAGATATCGAAAGAGGCACGTGCGGAAACTGTTGGAAGAAGGCTACAAAACTCAACAGCGTGTTGCTTGGACAGGCCAGACAGGGAAACAGCTGTCTGCCAGAGTTCGCTGAAGGAATGTCGCCCCAGCTGTTCTGCCAGCTGGAGTTGGCCTGCAACGCCTGGATGTTTCGTCCCGGGTCGTTCCATGTTTCGGACCACAGACTGCTAGAATCAAAGCACGCGAAGCAGAACATGACCGGTCTGGCCTGAAACTCTCTGACTTAAAAGATCACATGCGCGAAAGGCAGCATTCTCCTGCAAGCTCGAGCAGAGTCAGGGGCAGACCCAGCATCCAGAAACTGCAGAACTATTCAATTTGGGGGTTTCCTATAATGAGAATTATACTACTTTTGGGGGGTATATCATGGGTACCCCCCACATGTTTGGAAAGACCCAGCTGCTTGCAAACCACTCTCCGTTGGGCCTTGGCTGCCTGCTTCGAGCAGAAGCTGCGCCCCTTCTCGCTGGTCGCTTCGATGATCACAGACTCTCCAACCGTAACCGTCACCTGAGAAGCTTTTGTTATTGCATCGAGCTGCTGCTCAACTGCTAGGCTGCTTGGTTCTGCTGCTGTTGCTAGGAAGCTTCGGCCTCTCTTTCTGAGGCTTTCGCCGTACAGCTGAAGGCAGGAGCCTGCGAGGAAGATCAAATCTACCCTCCTGCGTCTCCTGCAAAAAGAGACTCTCTGACTCTCTCTCTCTCTCTCTCTCTCTCTCTCTCTCTCTCTCTTCCTCTTTCATGCCGGGAGCCCTGCCATAGGCCCTGGCATAGGCTTGCGCTTCAGCTTGTCTGGATGATCCCGGTGAAGCTTCTCCTGCCGCACCGAACCCTCAACCTATCCATACCCTAAAACCAGATGAAGGCAGCAGAATGTGAGAAGCCGAGCCGAGCTGCTACCATCGCTTGTGCGGCGCTTTGCTCTGCAGCCTTCCTTGGCGACACAAACTCACCGGAAGCGCCGGAAGACACATCACCCTGTCCTGAAAAACCTGTTCTTCCAGTTTTGGCTGGAAGTCTTTGTTGGGCAAGCAGTTCCCAGCAGTGTTGCCGGCTGCAGGACATTGACTTCCACTGAGGTGACGAAGGGCGGCACATCCTCGGCACGAGGCAAGGCTGGAAAAGCTGCAGTATAGAAATATGTATATATGTGTGCTTATATATATATATGTATTTTGAATTTAAAAAAAAATATATATATATATATATATATATGTATATATATATATATATCTCAGACAATGCGCAGAACCAAGCCAAAGAGCAGCTTGTGTCTTGAAGACCACATCTCCAGGCTTCCTCACTGAAGACCGATGCTACCAGCGACTTGGAAAGCGGCACACGAAGTCGCGTCTTTCGATTTGCAAGGCCGGCACGCTCAAAAAACACATCGGAGATCTCCCCTGTACATAATAGGAGAGAGAGAGAGAGAGAGAGAGAGAGAGAGAGAAAGAGAGAGAGAGAGAGAGACCCCAACCCAAAAATAGCGCACATCCAAAGTAACTCCTCTCGTGCGTAAATAGCAGCCGTTGCTCATATGTGTATACATATATATATATATATCTGCAAGAATGCCCCTGCCTCTTTGATTTGCCTACTTTGTACCGGTCCACTAGCTAGTTCTGCGGACTCAGAACGGGAGGGCACCACAACCGAACATGGATGCAGAAACTTGATGGGACGGAACCAAACCAGACAGAGAGCCCGCTTTGCATCTAGTCATAGTGACAAGACAGGACTCGCTCGCAAACGTAGCAGCGAAACATATGACGTACCTCTCTCTCTAGGAATCCCCGTGAAGGAATACTGAACAATCCCCCAAGAAGGCAAGATCTCGCCCGATCTCGGCTTGCTGTTGGGCTCCACAACAAACCACTTACTCCAAATTCGCTAGAAATCACATCACGAAGTGTGGCCCGGGGACACACCCAGTCGTGTCAATGCAACTTTGAACTCTTGAGACAACGGTGATGGCAACCGACGGCGATGGCAACTACGGCTGCGAACAGAATGCTGCAGCGTTGCTAGTGCATCCAAGCCTCAGGGTGCGGCCCAAAAGCTGCCTAGGCAGGAGCATCTTCATCAGTATCTTCACCAGCACAGGTTGAATCCGCGTGCCACTAAGCTGCTGGAGCTGCTCAACAAGCTGTCCTCGCCGTGCAGTTCACCATGTAGGCTTGGAACGCTTGCAAGGTGTGTGTGTGTGTGAGTAGCAGGCGGCTTCCAGGCCTTTGTAGTTTGCCGCGGCAGCCTTCATGGCACACCCCAGCGCATGGCGTTTTCAGGTCAAAAGTCACGAGAACATGCCGAGGAGCATGATTGTGATTTGCAGGAGCTGGATCCCTCAGCTGGAGACTTCGCACGGGCACGAGCCTCGGCGCTGAGAGATGTAGCTTCAAACACTTCAATCCATTGTGGAAAACCTGGGACCGCGGCTCGTGCAATGTCTGGAGAGCCTTTGCGGCCGCCGACTGCTCCTGATGCCCCCAGCTTTCAAGTGTTTCACGAAGTGTGGCAAAGCAAAGAAAGTCACAATGGCTGTTGCAGCGTGAAGCAGCTATTCTCCTCAGCAGCCCAGCCCAAAGAATCCCTGAAGTGAGAATCTCACAGAACTGCTCCGCAGAGTATCCCTGGAATGCCCACCTCCAGAGAATCCCACAGAGAATCCCTCCGCCAGAGAATCCCACAGAGAATCCCTGCAGTGCCCACGTTTGCCCTAGCGTAGACTTACGCAGAGCATCCCGGTAGCACGCCATCCTTCAGAGAGAATGCCCTTCAGAGAGTTTCTGGCGTGCCCAAGCCCAGCGAAGACCCTGGAATATCCTTGGAGTCAAAAATCGCAGAGATCCCTACAGTGCCTACGACATTGCCTAGTTTTTTGAGCCATGCTGTGCTCTTGTGGCTTAGGTGCTTGACCCGCTCAAACCCTTTGGCTCCGCGGGCTTCTTGGCACTGCAAGGCTGACCCAGGAAACGTCGACCAGGTGGCTGGCTCTTGCCTCGGCACCCCCACCGGCCTGTGATTGTCAGAATCCCTCCGTTCTGTTGCTGCATCTGATTGAGGCACGCACAGCCGGGCAAATTGTCAGGCGTCAGAGAGACTGACGCGGTGAAGGGGGCCGCTTCAGAGTTGACTTCGTATACCACATCTCCCTTGACGACGGGTCCTGTGATGGTCGCGCACAGGGTCTTGTCATGCAGTGTGGTACGTATGGGAGTAAGATGGAGAAAGGCACCCGTGGCTGCTTGCATCCAGGTGTCTGCGCAAGAGCCTGTGCAGCAGGTTGTTAAGCTGACCCTTGAAATTGCCGCCTCAGCGTTCGACAGGAGCGGACTTCCAGAAAAGAGACTCTGGCAAGCTCAGGCAACAGCCCCCGCAAGAGAAGTCCATGCCACGACCTCCATCCTGAAGGAACGCAAGAAGGTTGGGCGACGAACTCCCTCTTGTGACTTTCGGGGTCAGAAAGCTAGCTTCAGGCTGGGTTTTGTGTGCATTGGTATTGCTTTATATTGCTTTGGCATTGCGCCCAGTGTCGGCTCGTGTGCCACCCTTGCTGGAGTCAATCTGCGCAGCATCCAGGAAGCCGAAATCCCAACGCAGAGACAGATGCGGTGACATGGCCTGAGTGAGAGCCGAGGCAAAGTCCAGTGTGTCCTATGACAATTATGACATCTAAATCGTGCCGAAGCTGCTTGGCACCACTCATTCAAGGTGGAGATGCTCTCAGGACCTAAAGCGGACGCAGAAGACGAAGCGAAAGAGTCCCAAAAGAAACGATCCAGTGTCCAAGCAGCTCGGGTCACCGGGAAGCTTCCAGCGCTTGGAGTTGCAGGTCTTGGAGCTGCCTGAAGGGCCTGAGGCGAAACTTCCAGAAGCACTCTGGCTATCTCTGGCTTCGGGAGTGCAGACGCAAGGACCGAGGAATCCGAGGAAACCTCGAAGAGACCTCGCAGGGACCTCGACGAGGCCCCGCTGCATGTGTTGGGTTCTCGGTTTGCTTTGCTGGGCCAGCAGACCAGCCCATTCAGAAAGCTTGGCCGTGCTTGTTTGTCTGCTGGGGAAACGGCCGGGGGGGTTCACAACCTGTCCACTGTCAACTCATTGTCTCCGAAAAAGCAACAGAGGAAGCAAGGGGGCCTAGCCGGCCCTGGGTGCAACTGTGGATCCGTTGCAGTGTCCGGGCTTCATTCAGTCTTTCACGAAGTGCATCCAAATGTGGTCATGCCTTTACACTGTGGGACTTGTGAGTTTCCGCTTGGCCAGAACTCAGGTACTGGCACGCCCAGAGGAACCGGTCCGCGTTTGAAAGACCTGCAATCATCTGAGAATCATCTGGGAATCATCTCCAATCTGTCGTGGCTAGCGAGTGCTGCCGTTCCTGAGATATCCAAGGGCCTGCGGTGTTCGCGGACTTCATGCCATTGGATCGCCTCTCCTACAACTGCCTTGGCAGCGCATTGGTGACGTCAACACCCGGCTCGAGCCAAGACGTGCCATGGGCATGCCACCTGTGTCACGAGTATGCCGCAGACATACCACTCAAGTGCGACAGACGTGCTGCGTGCAGTGCGGTTGGGCAGATCAGACGGAAGAGACTGGGCAATGGAATGGTTTAAATTGCTTAGCAGTCCGACTTTTCATCCCTTCGCACCAGTCAAAGCTCACCCCTGCGAGACTTGAGCTCCTCTTCACGGCAAGAATCAACGCCACTTTGCAACAGCTTCCCTATGCCCCCTCCTGCTCGATAGCTACAGTATAATGCAGAGTTGAGCAAATCAACTGCATGACTGCTCTCAAGCTCAGCTCCAAGTCGAAAGCATTTGACCTGTGTCATCACAGTACCCGGCGCAGCATCCACACCCCTGCTCCATCCACCCGGTACACACCGTGCGCCTGCCAACCCGGTTCGCTAGGCGTAGAGAACAACGTCTACACACACCATCACCCTCCTTGTGTTCGGGGCTTCTGTGAAGGTGTGCCCGTCTCCACCCTCTCGTAAGGCGGAGTTGGATGAGCCAGACAGTGATGGTCTCTTATTGTGCGGAACGCTGGCGGTCGAAGCCAATCCGAGGTATGGGGGAGCCGGACGGCCCCGTGGTCCTTGAAGGCAGCATCGGCCAAGTCGGGCACCGGCTTGCTTTTCACCAGGGCCATCACAATACCGCCTCTGGCCAAATGGTTCATGACTTGCACGACCTGTCAATAGCCAACCTTTGAATCATGTTTCATCCACCGCAAGCGCCGTCAGAAACTTAGCACTTCGCTGCATGCTCATGTGAAGGCGGGTGTACTTAAATTGCACCAGCCTGACGGCAGAACCCGGCAAAGCGGGTTCGTATGTGCAGTGCGTTCCCGTTCAGGGCAGTTTCGCTCGTGCGTTGCGCCTGTCGGCAAACCTCGGGCATCGTACTCATTTACGTAGAAAATCAGAATGCCGAGCTTAGCTCGTTTGTCTTTGCATTGTATGATTTCAGTAGTAGTGCACGCATCATGAGCTGAACCACTGAGACTGGGAATGTCAGGGAATCTTGTGTTCTGCAGGTCCTCCACGGCATCCCGAGCCGTGCTCCAGAACTCAGAGTCCGAGATGGAGTGGACACGCTTCAAGGAGGGCAGGATCTTGGTGCCCTGAGAAACGACACACAAAAAACACAGAACATCACTAAAAATTTAAAATGAAGGCTCTGTCTCAGTCCCCTTCTGCCCTGGCGACCCTAAGGCGACCCGAAGGCCCGGGGTATTCACTAGTGTGCCACCTGCCTTGCCCAGATTGAAGATATCCTGCAGATCCCACAATGCAAAAGTCAAGCACCCGCGCGCTCTCACACGCATGCAGGCACCATGAGTCCTGCATCTCTGGCCTGCCAGGTGATCCACGTCCAATGGGGTGCAGACAACCCCATCAAGCACGGACAAAGCCTGGCCCGCCTGACAGACTTTGGGAGCTGGATGGGCTCTCTGCGCAGGTAGTCGAGCGACCGCTCCAGCGCCTGAAGGTGCACTCCGCAAGGCTCCGCAAAAGGCTCCGCAAAAGGCTCCGCAAAAGGCTCCGCAAAAGGCCTTGCAAGGCTCCGAACAGCTCAAGCCAGGCCTCCAGTCCTTTCCGATCTGCTTGGTTCAGGAGCTTGAGCCCCTCACTGACTCGAACCTAAAGCACGCGCGCACATCCACAGAAACCTTGGCCTTCAAAAGAACTGCAGCTTAACATGGGCGTAGGCTCCCAGCTCGCACAACATTCCACTGCACCAGCGAGTCCCAGAGCTCCTGCCCAAGCTGTCCAAAGCTGTTCCATGAATCTGAAAACCACATGATGAGGGGGAGGGAGGGGGACGGGGGGAGGGGGGCGGTCTTCGTCGCTCCTGGCGGGAGACCTTCATGTCGTCGTTCATGTCATGGTACGCGACGGTGTCTTCAGCCTTGAAGGAAATAAATAGATCCTTGTGCTTTAAGAACTCCGGATCGGAGAGGCGCCGCAAGGCCGAAGAGTCACCGTGCCCAAACCAAGCAATGGTCTCTTGCACGGTGATCTCGCCATCTGAATCTGTGTCGACCAACTTCAATATTCTGTCAAGCTGCTCTTCCATCTTCTTGGCTTTACTGCTAGGTGAAATTCCAGTGACTTCGAAAGTCACATAGCCTGACCACGCCATCGCCACGCACTGCCCGACTTCAGCGGACAAGGACAAACGAGGCAAGAAGGCTCGAAGAAACTGGACAGGCTGCGGGAAGGCGTACTGGAGTGTTAAAGCAGAGCCACATTCCCCGTCCGCAGGGGGCAAAGTGGATGTCTCGTGCAAGTATCCCGGAGGCCAGATCACCGCACCCATCTCCCGGTTCAAGAAGCCCAGGTCGGGTTCCCACTTCTTGGCATCATAGACTCCACCGTCGAACTCATCAAAAGAGTCGAGAAAGGACATCTTTGGCAACATCATCTTTCGCCATCGCTTGTCCCCCCGCAGCTGGAGAGATACCACCGACTCGCAGTATCCGTCGGCATGGGCTCCCGCACCACAGTGTGCTCCTGGCGAAAACCAAACTTCGAAGCTCCTGTTCATCTTGGCCTTGTTGAGGGGATCCTGCAGAAATGGCGGCGCCTGAAAGCGCTGCTGCACCTTCCGCTTCTCTTTCGGGGAGAGCTCGTCCTTCACGTGCCAAACGTATGGCCCCCGCTTGGGCTTCAAGGGATCGTCTGCATATCGCTTTGAGGCAGGTCTTGAGAAGTTATGCCACCAGGTCTTTTCGTCTGGCTTGAATGAGCCTAACTTAAACCGCAGCTCTCCATCAATCACCTTAGTGTCGTGCTTTCTGCGATCAAAACCCGGGAGTGCATCTATGTACTCAGCCTTCATGTAGCCAAATGGAAATGACTCGGCAAAGTCCTTGCACGTCCACCCTGAATATGTCATCCCATCTGCCCAGTCAGAAACTATGATGGGGTAACCTCTGCGGGCATGGAAGAGAAACTCTTCCCGAGTTGGCTTGCTGAGAACGACAGGTGCAGGCAATCCCTGTTCGTCCCGCTCGCCACCCTGCCCAGGGAAGTATTCTTCCAGCGTTGGCTCCCACAGTGGAGGCTTGGTGAGCGTGCTGAGGTCGATATCAAAAAGCTCCTTGCTGGCTGCGGGGGAAAGATTCCCGAGGAACAGGAGCAGACTGCTTTTCCACCTGAGCCAGAAAAGAGACTTGCACTGTGATCCAGCACGCCTTTCACACTGCTCTGAGGCCGGTGCCTTGACAGCGTCATGGCCGGTGGTGAAAAAGGCTAAGCCAAACAACCGAACTACAAGCGCATAGTGACTTTTTTAGGGGGGGGGGAGTCGAAGCTGTTGGAGTCCCAATAGTCTACCGCGATATGGCGTCGAAAGGGCTTCAAGTAGGTTAAGGAAGTTGCGGAGGGGTCTTGCAATCTTGCATGTTTTCCATGCTGATCTTGGGAACGAAACTGGCAACGTGACAAGATTTTAGACCGCAAGCATCGAACCTCAAGACCGTCACGTGACAGAATCTCAGCTGAGTCCAGCAAGCCGCTCAATTGCAGGAGCCTGGCGTAGGCTCTTTGCTCCGGAGGTCACGGGGCAGGCCCAGCGCACTGGAGACCTCTTTCGTGCTTCACAAGACTTCAACGTCTCCCCATTTTCCCAATCGCAGCACGACATTGCTTTGAAAGGCCTCGCAAAGGTGAAAGCGGACCTGGTGGCGAGAGCTGCTGAAAGCACCATGAGAAGTTCCACGGATTGAAGCAACAGCAATGGCCTGCAATGAGTCTCCGAACTTGTCGGCTGACTCCACAATGGCATGCCCCACCCAAACTTCAGAAGGCGCCACACCTGCCATCGTGCTGCAGATACAGCAGCCCTGCAGTTTACGGAGCAAACCTTCGAATCAAAACCCTATCTCCTAAACCCTAAACCCTAAACCCTAAACCCTAAACCCTAGACCCGAAATTGGAGGGCAGCCGGGCCTTCAGTCGCTTTCGAGCTGTCCCCGTAAAGCTGCTGCAGCTCTCGTAGCTCGTCATCAGAGCAGAAGCAGCCCTGCGCCGGCATCGCCAGAGCTCATGGAAATCCTACCTTCCCAACACTGACACTTTCCCATAAAATCAGGTTGCGAGGGCTGCTACTGAGGGTTTGTCGTTTTTAGCAGCTTTCGATGGGCTATGCCGCCTTTCCTTCGGCTGTAGGTACTACTTTTTTCTGCCCTGCTTTGCAACCGTCTGTGCATGTCTGTGGGCGTGCAGTGCAGCCACTACACACCTTCGAAGATTCACGTGCCTTGTCTGACTGGTCGTCAACCAGCTTAGAGAAATCGGCCAGGCAAAGGCCTTCTTCCTGCACTCCATCGCACACAGTTCTCATCGAAAGCACATGTGCATGATGACCATACCTCCATGACGTCAAGCTCCATGCACAGCGACGTGTACTCCCTCGACGTGAACGGATGAATGAACACATGGAGCGATTCATTCGCAGACACAAGCATCTTTAAGTGTAAGCTGCAGACTCTGCCCAGTCTTCATCAGTCCCATCAAATCCTTCGGATCACGCATCACAAGAAGCCAGAAGCATAAAATTAGCCAAAAATGGCAGCGACAGCCTAGCTCAAGCTGCTGGACATGCGCTCAACCTGCCGTCATTAGCTACGACACCGTACCTCAGCGGTCTTGGACCGCAATGGCACTGGCATGAAACACACTCCCGTCCGCAAGCCTGATTCCAACAGAACCGTATCGGAACGCCACATCATTTCCAAACCCAATTTCTCCCCACTTCCTCACACACATTCGACTAAACAGCATCCCCGGAATCCCCGGCGCGCACCTGTGAAGGTCGCCAGCTTCCGAAGCCCTTTCTGTCCCAAGTGCTCACCACTCGTCAGGGCTTGGAAGGCTTCCTGGCCGAAGCGCCGGAAAAAACGAAGCCTAAAGATGACAAAGGATCCGAGTCTAAGATACTAACATGCTGTCACACTTCAGCCTTGATCAGCATGGCCCGTTTTGGAGCTAGCAGCGGCCGGCGCAAGCCTCAGAGCCACAGGAACAACACATGAATGATGCAGGAAAAACGGCAACTGCGCGGGGCAATGTCACGCACACTGCGCAGAAGCCTGCCAAGGCTGGAGCAAAGGAGATCGTCGGGTCTCAGCCGTAGCTGGTGCGCCTGCCACATGCTGCACTGACACCGCGCAATGAAAGTGCTGCTTGGGACACGCTAGGCCTCGATCAAGTCTAGTGGGACGTCGAAACCACCGGACAGAGTGTGCCTGCTAAGTGGCACTGAGTGGCAGCCTACTGGCCAAGAGCTTAGCAATCATGCTGGCAGCACCCCTCAAAAAAGCGCACAGCAACGCCATCCAAAAGACGACCATCACTCTCGGCCACAGATGTGCTCGCAGCCTGGTGCAGACACCGCAGTCGCATGCAGTCGCTGGCTCTTGAGAGCACCTTCCTTTGAACAAAACAAGCATGCCACCCGATGGCAAGTAAGCACCTTTTTTTCAAGTGGCCAGCGAGCCCCGTAGCTTCAAGATAAATAGAAGTGCAGCCGTCGACAACATATCGTGTCGAAACAGCTGCCAAAAGATGCTAAAGCGGTGTCAGCCGGGGGGCTAATGAGTTCTTCTTGCGCGTCTGCCAGAAGTTGAAATCGAACGCTGTTGCCGCAGTCCGGTTCAATAGATCCTACACGTCTATCAAGTTAACACTACTAGCAGCAGTGCAGCTTGACTATTGAAACGGCACTCTGCAGCAAGCCACTCAAGGAATTACCTGAAACCCGTCGCTTCAATGGACTAGTTTCAGTGATTGGAAAGCCAGAAATGGAGCATGGGGACTTTCAACTCTCGACCTCCGGATCTTTCCAGCCTACCAATTCTTAAGTGTCCAAGGCAGCACTGAGCTGCACTGAGGGCCCAGAAGGCACCAAAATCAACGAGAAGCGCCGCCGAAGCCGCTGATGGTTTTTTTTTGCGGAGGCACTTCTTCTTAAGACACTGACAATCGCTGCAGCCACTCGGCAACCTTGACCTCGCACCGACCATCGGAAATGCCGACCACATCAGCCAGCACAACAACCTCATCAGGCATCGCAAGAAGCGACACGTGAGAAGGAGAAGGAGAAGCTCTCTATCTCTCTAATCCCCAGCTGCGCCTTTCCGCCCAGAGCCTCACGGCCTGCAAGCAGCGGGATGCTCACAACTTGACCCACTGTTTGACCACAACCTACCACAACACAACTCCCCGCCTGTGGTGTTTGACCCGTTGGCCACGGAGTTAGGTCGCTGGCCCACGAGGCCCGTGCGGTTCAAGGCCAGGAAGGCGAAGCCCGCGACTGTTGCGCCGGCCTCCTCGCCTACAGCGCAAAGCAGAAGCAGCAAAATGCTGAGTAAGTCATGCCGAGTCACACTACTAAGTGAAGACAACGTGGCACAAACGTCTGACAGTCGCTAGAGTAAGATCCACAAGGCTTTTGCCAATGACTCAGGGCCGAACAGATACGCTTCAATGCCATGGCGGTTTGTCCTGAAGTCACAGGCCCGGTGCACACAAGGCAGCCGACGAGAAGCACATCACAGCGGATCTCAAACTGCTCAGGTGCGCTTAGCCAGTTCAGTCACGCATTATATGATAGTATACGTAACATGCGCCGCCTCTGTAAGGCTCTGCAAGCCTTGTGAGCTAACGAGGCCCTGGCCTGAGGCCAAGAAGTCATCCACGATTAGCACTCGGTCACTTGGACCAAAGAACTCACCGGAGACGTTGAACATACCTCGTTTTCTGTGCGCAGACATGTGCTGATGGGAAGAATTTCGGAGAATAAGATTTCACTGACTTTCTTCGGTACAGATCCGGGATTGGCTTCCAATCCTTGTGTCACATTCCCCGCCTGTTGGAGCTTGTGCACTCAGAATCTTCTGGTCCTTCATGGTCAGCGGAACGCCAGTGCCTCATGCTAAAATACGCCACAACAGAGACCTCAAGAGCGCCTTAGAAGACTCCAACTAAGCCATGCCCAGCAGCGTGCGAAGATCATAGGGACTTCGGAATGCCTGGCAACCACGTACGCCACCGGCAAGCCCTGCACGGGCGCACCTGAGATGATTCAAGTGAAGTCACACATCCTGTTGCATCGCAATGTACAGCATTGTACAGCAGTTGAAGACCAGCCGCCTGTCAGAACCTTGGTGACACCAGCAAATTGTGCTGCCAGCACGTCACCGCAGGCATCCAGCATCACAGGGTCCATGCTCATATGCTGGCCCAAGACCTTGGGGCTTACCACTGCGTTCCGACAAGTGGGGACCGTCCAAGCAAGGGGCTGGGAGATACCTGCGTGCAGAGAGCTGGGCCTACCACCGATCTGAACTTCATAGCGTTCTTCGCCGCATCAATCTCCACTTCTTTGCTCATTCGTCGGACGAGGTCTGTAGCCACGCGCACCCAGGTGTCGCGAGCAGGCTCCGGACAGCGGAAAACTTTCATCCCTGACGGAGAGATTTGGCTACCACGGCAATCGCATCCGAAATGTCTAAATGCTTGACATCCAGGCGCCCTCTCCAGCCTTGATCGCCCACTGATAACACTTTCGTGAGGGCGACAATACTATCCTAAGGACTGGACTTGCATTCATCCCCAACGCATCTCCAAGACATCCAGGACGGACCAGAATGTGCTGGCGAGGCACTGCCATGTGTGGTCGCGATGACAGAATTTTGCCGCGGCCATGTTGGAAAACCTTCGCGCAAAAGGAACAACGTTTGTGAGAAGGCCACAAATGGCGTCCCCGATTTTAAAACATTAAAAAGCAAAGGCAACTGTCTAGTAAAGTGAGAAGCCTATGCAACTACATTTATACATATCTCACAATATCCCAACACTGAAGTCCTCAAATCAAAACAAACGCAGCATCTAAAGCCCCGGATTCCTAAACAGCGCAGCCCCAACACATCATTTCCAGTAAAGCCATCAAGTCCCCCTCGCTACTCAAGAACCGACCGAAAAGCCTTGTCAAGCGACGCCTATCAATTCTGCAGGACCACTCAACATGAATACGACTTGATATACGTAAAGCTTAAAATGTAGTGACCGCAAGTATCACCGCGACATGCCTCTGATTGAATGCTTGCACGTGTGATCATACCAAAAAGCGTCCTGTAAAGCCTAGTTCCGAAACACACTTTCGACCAAAGTTCTTTGCAACCCCTTGCACTATAATTAGATAGTCAAATAGTCTTACATGCCTCTAAGCAGTACCTGTAGCATGTCATGACTCAGCACCTGAAAACAGACAGACTTGGAATCATTGGACAGCTGCTTACCGCGCCTTCTCCACAAGGAAGCCGGCACCCACAACAGTGGCACCCACCTACAACAGACAGAAATGTCAGCTTGACCGCTTGAATATGTCAAGCAGGTTCTTTGATGAAGGCTCAGCTTATCACAAAGAAGGCTTCACAGCTTTACACAAACCTTCCCTTTTAAGCCCAACTCCTGGTCACAGAGGTTCTGCAGCGCCAAAGTCGTGGCGCCATTGCCCAAGATGTCGTCCACCAAAAGCACCTCAATGATGTTTATAAAGTCTTTTGCAGAGGTCTTTTGGAGTCCGAGAGGATGCTGGTTATGGATCCTTGCATGGTTGACCTGGGCCCTGGACAGCATCATCTTTTCGCAGGTGGTCCTGAGCCAAGTGCGGTGTGGTCAGGTCGGCGGTAACTTCTGCATGAGGGGGTATGCCATGCTGGGCTATGCAACCCATTGCAGGTCAAGGCTCGCGAAAGATGTGCAGGTTTCCCCGCGCTGAATCAGTGCTACCCTCCACTTTTGCGGAGATTGTGCCACCAGCAACAGCCATAACCTTGCTCAACTCCCTTCGCGCCTCATTTAAGATGGGCAAGAACAGAGAACAGTATGCCGTGTGCATGTCACTTGCTCACGCCTCCACAGGCTGTCACAAACCGTCGCAAAGTGCAGGACAGTCTTCTACAGTTGCCACAAAAAACCACACACAACAGTTGAGACGATAGCTCGCCAAGGGTCGCAGACCAGCGGCACCCTGAGCTGCATCGCCAAGGCCAAGGCCGGTGCAACACCAGACATCTCAGCAGTGAGGACGGCCGTTGCTCGCGAATCGACAAAGCGTTTCGCCAGTAATGTGGCCGCTTGATCCATGAGCTTCGTGTCTACCTGGTAACTTCAAGTACCCTGGTCCGATCCTGACTATACTGACTTAACGGAAAACAACGTGAAACTAGGGCAACAGGTCACAAGGCTGCACGACCCAAGGTGCCACGTGATTGAGGAACATCGACGCATTGATCATTCCCATCACTTCCCCTCCTTGATGGGGCTGAGCAGATGTCAAGACTCGGTTGATCATGACCTTCTGATCTGCTGCCTGTATAGGTCTGCAGTCCCCGACCACCTTGCAATCCAAGGAGATCCCTTCGGTTGACATCGACTCAATACATGCCAAAGATACGATCCGGCCGTTCAAGTGAGGTAACTCTTTCAGAATCTTTCCACGGCCATCCTGGAATCGCTTTTCGACAAGGAATGCCATTCCTGTTACTTCAGCCTTCGCCTGCTCAACTAAGCGGTGGAGAGCTACGCCAGTGGTCCCGGTCGCCAGGAAGTCATCGACGACCAAAACAACCTCCCCAGGAAGCAGAGCTTCCTTCGTAACATAGAGTACCAGTTTCTTCTTCTTCGTGAAGCTTTCCGAGGGTGCACTGTACATGGTCTGCAGGACCACCTCATCATTCTCGTGTGTCTCTCTGGCACAGACGAGCGGCACGCGCAAGGCCGTTGCGACGGCATGTGCAGGGGGAAGGCCGCCGGTTTGTGCCGTGAGTACTTTCTGGACTCCAAAGCCCGCGAAGACCCGGGCCACCAGCTGGCCGCACATGTCCATCAGGTGTGTGTCAACTTGATGGTTGATGAAGGAATAGACCTTCAGGAGGTTGCCAGGTAGCACCTTCCCCTCCCGCATCACTCGCTCTGTCAGCACGTCCGCAGCAACCACTTCCGGCAATTTGGGATCCTGCACTGCAGGAGAGATGTGCGGAGTACTGGACACGAGGCCGTTTGTGCCAGACTTGGAGACCTTGGCAAGGCTCTCGAACTTGCCCGACACAGGACTGGAGCCACCATTGGCAAGGCAGTTGTGGATGATCGTACCGACCCCAACAACTTTGGCGCCAGCCTTATCGCAAATGGACTTGAGAGCACTGACTGTCGTGCCCGTGCTGACAACGTCATCTATCACCACCACACGGTCCTCCGCACTTATGGCGCTTGTGAGCACCCAGTGGCTTCGGCCCTGGATGGTGGCAGAAATGGTGGCATCACTGTTCCAGGTATCTGGCACAGAGGGGTAGGCGAAGACCACGGGCAACTCTAAGTGTCTGGAGGTCGCCAGCGATGGCAGGAGCCCCTGGCTAGTGCAGCCCGCAAGAATCTTCGTGGGCTTAGCATCTGATAGCCGGTTAGCCAGGAGCGCTCCACAGCTGTCCATAAGGACTGGGTCCACCCTATAGTTTAGAAAATCAGCGACCCGCAAGATGCCGTCAGGCAGGACCTGTGCTTCATCTTGAATGCGCTTTGTCAGGGCATTCAAGGCAAGGGATTGCACCTCCAAAGACATGGTGGGCCAAGAGATGGGCACCAGCGGAGCTAACTTTAAGTTTAAAGTCTCATCGTACATCTGCAGGAGTGAAGGATTAGCTGGTGATCAAAGGATCAGCTGCATCATCATCGTTAACTGTACATGGGAGAGACTGGGTGCATGACGAGCTTACATGTGTAGATGTATACGGCTTGATGAGCGGCGGACTGCAGAGCAAAGACACTTCGACAAGACAAGACAAGAGAAAAAAGCGGCACAGATTCCAACAGCGGGCCTCCATGAAATTCAGCTGGCGCCAGGCAGATGCATAGGCGGCACAGGATGGCCACCTCCTCGTCTCCGCCTCTACGGGTGCTAAGCCACCAAGACTCAGCAAGTCCTTTGTCAGAGTCTCCGGTGAAGATCATGCGAAAAGGGAAACTGTCTGACTCCTGGGGGCATGGCGGGCCAACGGATCTCTGATTCCGGACGCTTGTGGAAGGCCTCAAGAATCGTGCGTTCAGCCCTGCCACAGATAAGAATATGGGCAAGCACTACCCACTGCCGCCCAAACCTTCAGCGGCTGCTCCCGGTGCTCCAGGCAGAGGTGCACCTAGGCCATTTTGCGATTCAACTTCCGCCGGATCTTCTCGGGCCGCCATGCAGAGTGTCGGATCTGAATACATGCGATAAGACCTCACGTGCAGCCGCAGCACTCGAGGGCCAAGGTACAGCAACTGCGGGCAGCTGCAGCTCCTGGCACAGGACATAATGCGTCGGCGCATGCGTCACAGCAAGGGCACTGTCCCTCAGATTGGCTTCCGGCCCGCAACATGTCCAGCATGGCAGCCGTGGAATCTTGTCAAGACAAGCCAGGTCGCTGCGCACCCGGCATCTGTTGAACCTGGCGCATGCCCAGAAAAAATTTACGAACAGCTGCGCACAGTCTCGGCACTCACAAGCACTACACGCACGCGACATGCACAAGCACACGCACACATGGATACTGACACGCCCGCACGCAAGCGCACGCGCACGCGCTCACACACAACCTTGCACTTAAACTTTGAGTTGCGTCCATATACGAGCCTGACAAGTGCCCTGGTCACGAAGCAGAACACGGACGTCAAGGTGGCCTGTACCTGCGCTTGGAGAGAACAGCCGCTGCAAAGACCTAAGCACTGGCTGTGCTAAGCTGAGGTCACGCCAGGAGCTGGAGCGGCTGCTTGAGCTGCTCGCTCCCTCTGAGAAGGACCACTCCACCTCCAATGCAACACGGCTCGGACATGTTCGGACAGCCATGTCGACTTGGGCCTCCCAGCAGTTTTCTGGACCATTGCAAAAGTCGCTGGGCTGATCGCCGAGGTCAATGCAATGGAAGCGCCTGAAACAAAGGACAGAGGTGCCTGAACTGTTGAGAACTGCTTGAACTCATGCCGCTAACAATGGATGGAGCCGTCTCCTGGAAACATTCTCGAAACATGAAAACTGGTCCGTTTCACGGCCATTCTGCCGATGATAAGCACAGGATGTAAGCCACATGTAAGCCGCTGACCACTTGGCCCGGGCTGATCCAGGTTCGATACTTGGCCTTACGTACCCATAAGACAGCTTGTGAGAAATTTTGAAAAGCACTACATGGCACTTAGTTCTACATGACCAGTTCAAAGTGCCCTGGATATCCAGAAGGGCATGCAAGGGCAAGGCTTCGGAACAGGCTGCAGCAGTGACCAGGGAAGGCGGTGGGCCACTTTCGTGCCCAAAAGTGGCACCTGACATTGCTGCCCGGCACTTGTGAGATATTTCACTGCACTCGGCCCCTCTACAACCAAACATTCACCGAAGCCCCAAGCTTGTCTGGCGCACAGGGTCGAGTCTTCGCTTACCCCCTGATCTTTTACCCATAAACTCAACAGCTCGAACCGCAGCACTTCGGGGCATTCTTGGGGTGTGGGGAGTTGGCTCTCACCTTTTCTGGGTTCTTCCGGGCTTCTCCGTGCGATGTTCACCTTGTGCTCTGTAAAGCTTGGCAGGCGGGCCGGCGTTTACACCCCCAATACTTGTCGACCCACCTTGAAGTAGACCCCAGCGGAAGACCTAATTTTCGCAAGAACACCAGGACACAAACTGTCCCGTGGCAACTACCCGGCATGCGGCTCGCAATCGCCCGTGTTGCAGGAGCCTCTTTTCCAAGTCCCAAACGCAGGTTGTTCACCAGCCAGCATTAGTCCGTATGGACGTGCCATTGAAGAACCGCCCAAAAAGCTCTGCAAGCAGCGGGAAAAGTCCCGGACGTCCACCAGTGGAGACCTTGCGGCCCTGTGGTGGAAGGAGCGCAAGTCGAAGGTGGGCCGACGCGGACTGGAGCGACAGAAAGGGCAAGCAGGACTGTGGTGGGAGTTTGGAGAGAAAACCGACCGGACTGGAGCAGACGGATGCAGCGAGGCGGGCAGTTACATCCTAGTCCTAAGCTGTTGCGAACAGACCAATGAGCAGGCGTGATCAAGTTCAACTACTTGATGGTGCAGGGACGTGTGGAGGGCCCCAAAACAGCTTCCGCTAGCATCTTTGAAGGTCGTGGAATTTCTTTCTCAGTTTCCTGAATCGCGCGGTTTCCTGAATCGCACGTTGTCGTCGCCAGTTTCCTGAGTCGGTTAGTGTCCTGAATCGCGCAGTTTCCTAAATCCTGGTTTCCGGAATCACATAGTTTCCTGAATCCTGGTTTCCTGAATCGCGGGGCTGGTTTCCTGAATCCTGGTTTCCTGAATCGCGTCCAGTTTCTGAATCGCGCTAGGATCGGCTCACCCCGAACCGCGCGGCGCAGCAGCTCGTGAGATAAGCACCAGGATGGCTGGCTCTTCTTTGGACCACACTCCTGTAGCAACTGTCGCTGTCAGCCAGTCCTGTGGTCAGAAGTCAGTGGCGAGGACAAAGTCTCGTTGAATCTGAAAGCCTTCGCCCGAGCCAGGAGGTGCCGGCACTTCCCATGTCAACAATGTGACGTGGTGACGTGTTTCGACTGGCTCATGCGCGACACAGAGGTGTTGTTGCAGGGGTTGAGTTTGTCCACCTTTGCCCGCTTCCAAGGGACTCCACATCAGCTGCAACATGGACTTCAGCAGGTGGGCGTGTTGCGGATCAGGGCTTCCAGGCCTCTACAATTGCCTTCGCAGTTGTTGCTGAGCTGTCGCCGTATCGGCATCTTTAAAGCTGCAGATGCTCTTAGCCTTGCCGCTTCAAAGAGTGTTTGTTGACTCGGGCAAGTCTGGAAGCAGTCAAGCACTCAGGGATTCTTGGACAATGACGGGGCAGGCGACAGACTGAATCTCCCCTACGGATTACGGGCATCCCTAAGGCCTTAAGGGCATCCCTCGCCATGCACCATCAAGGCGCCTCGATGTCGAGGCCTGCTGCACTTAGGCTGTGCAGCCGCGCATGGGCCAGGTGTGGATATCCACCTCTTGGCAGCGTGTGCTTCAATTTTGGGAAGCGAATTTCTTGCACTCAAGAACGAAACCAACAACCGTTCTCTCATTCTGCCACATTAGGGGGAGAGTGCAAACGTAGCTTGTCAAATAAAAAACGTGTGCTGCGGCAGCCTGAAGCCAGTGGCTTGCTCTGGCTCAGGCCATCAGTAGAGTCTGCACAGCGCCTTGGTGTGGGAGGCAGCGCATTTGTCGAATTGTTCACGAACACCTTGGACCTGATGACCTTCTGAAAAGCTGTTGACATGCATTTGCACTCCCTCCTATGGAAGCCACAGCTGGACAATGGGATATTGTTTGGACTGCAGCGGGGGGGGACTCTAGAGGAGGCGTTGTCTGGTTTGTTCTTTCTGTGGTGCGCTGGCTACGTTTCAACACCGCATCTCCTCAGAGTCAGGCCGACATCGCCAGGCGCCTTCATGGTCTGACCCTGCTTCCTCCCAATGCTCGCACCAGAACAGAAGTGTACCCATGTGGAACACTGTGGAACTATCAGGGCACCTGCCTCAGGGTGGACCTTGTCGCAGCCACTGCACCGACGAAGGGAATTCCTAGCAGAATACGTTAGAGGACTTCAGGCGCAAAAAGGGCAGCTCCAAAGGGATACACAACATGGCACAACGTATTCACAACCTGATACTCTCCCAGTGCACGGGTTAGGTTTTCCAGGAAGTTCTCGGGGGATCACATTCAGATACGTTCACGATCATTTCAGCATACAGGACTTGCATACGGTCACTGCATTCGATGTGTGCCAGGCGAAGCAAGACTGCAGCAAGCTTGAGAATCAGAGAAAAGCTAGCTTCTTTCACAAACCTTAGAAAATTTCTGCCAAGAATTTGTAATCATGGCGGGAGGTCAGCACAAGGCGTTGCTGACAGCAGGCTCCACAGAGCCTGTGCGTGGACCCCACAGATCGCAAAGCTGCAAGGCTGAAACGGCTGCAAGGTAGCGATCTCAGCCCCATTTTGCATGTGCTGAATTTTCGGGTCTGGGTTACCCAGCTGTGGAAAATGGGCGGCAAACCTCCTTGCAACCTGCATGAAGCAACAACATTGAGTGCGGCCCATGCGCATGCAGTGATTAGGGCCTTCCTGAGTCCGGGGAAGGTGTGATTTGTACAAGCCTCTGGCATTCAAAAGAGAAAGGCCTCGCAGAGGCAGGGCCCACATAGTAAGAACATGTATGCAACAGCCTTGGGTCTCTGCTGTCGTCCAACCAAAAAGACACAGAGAGAGGCAGTCGCTGTGCAGCACGCACACATCACTGATCATGTTAGTCTACACAGTCGAGCAACTGAAAGCAGTCGAAAACAAAAACTCTTTCTAGCCAGACTCATATCTCTAAGCAATCACACCTACTCAAACTAGTTCTGCATCCGGTGTGCTCAAAAACTTCCCAGCACTTGTCACGGCCAGACGAGCGTGTGCTCTTAAATGAAAGCCGCGTGATGGCTGGTCGATGCGGGGTGCACGATGCGTTGGCAAAGAGACTTCAAACTCCCATCCTTCAATGCTCCGCAATGCGCTGAAAAGACGCCATGTGAGCCTCCGAGCTTCCGATGTGCATCCGCCCTGGGCTTGACTGGAGGGATGTCACCCCTTTGAGACTTCCCTTTGAGGCTTCTGGGTGCCTGTACAAGAAGCCAGCTCGGCCTCGTCTCGACGAGCTGAGTCTACATCTCTACAAACCGTCTGCTACCCGCTTCCCCGACAATGAGCTTGATCCAGTGCCTATGTGACAATGTGACACACCGTCCACAATATGCCGCCTTCGCAACAAAGTCTGCTTGTGCGCCCATTGTACAGAGAGTCAGATTGGACATCTCAGAGAGCTGGTCACAAAAAATCAAGAAATCTCCCAGGAACATATGATATGTGAAAGCGCATCTGCCAGGAAGGAAAACCAGCTTGCACAGCGTGACAAGCGAGGCAGCGTGACGCCCTCAACCCCACAAGCATTCAGCATGCACAGGCGATCGCAGGTGATCACAGGTACATGCAACCACCGTAGACCACATGGCTTACCGAACCGCCGATGCCTGGCTTTGCTCTCGGCTGTGCTGGAGGTCCTGGCCGTCCTCGCTCTCCTGGATGCTGGCGCTGTGAGATTACATTGAACTGCCATGGTTGCGCAACATCAGTGCAACATCTCTTTCCCAAAGCCTCCTCCGACAAAGCATCTAGGTCCAGAAGGCGTGCACCTGACAAGTGGCGCAACACTCCCAAAAGCTGCAATGCTTTACGATGCTCTAAGCGATTTGCGCGATGCAGCAGCGCCATGCGACTGCCGTGCACACTGTTCGCTGCCGAGGGGCAGCTGGAGGAGAGCCCGCGGGTCACCTGCTGCAAAGAGCGGGTCTTGGCACCTCCCAGCGTCTCTTCGGCCTCCTCCACATCTCCGGCCTTGCACACACTACTATTGCAACACTGCTATAACACACCCACTCTCGTATTGCAGAGAGCGTCTACCAGTCTATCACTTGAGAAGACTTGCAAACAATTCTCGGACACGTAACTTGCTACAAAAAGCTCTGCTGGGAATCCTAGGCGCAGGATTCTGCAGTCGATGCAGCCGGCGCTCAGCCGCGCTTCTGACTGCGTCTGCGAAGTCTTCGTTGCCAAGCACACTGCAGCTTTGAACTAATGCTGCCGCAGTCATCTTCTGCCCGAGAGGCGCTGGCCAAATTGTAAACAAAGATCTCTCGGGCTCGGGTGCCATTGTCGCAGTGCATACAGCCTCGACAATGCTTTCGATCAGCCACGGCAATAACACTGCGGCGCTTCGGCTCCCATGACCTAGTGCTTGCAAATCTTCCGCAGACGCCACTGCTCGCAAGGCCGTACACGGAGTCACCTGCAGGTGTAGGTACGCTATGTACTTTCAAGCACAACTCTTCCCATCCTGACTCAACTGCATTAACCTGCCGCCTGCGCAGCCGTGGCCCAGCGCACGGCCGCAGCTGCTGAGGGTAAGGACTCCAAGTGGCCGATGCCACTGAGTGCGCTCAGAGCGCTGCCCAGGAAGGGCGGACTTTCCGAACACTCCTGAACCACCAGCATGTGGCACTTAGCTATCTTAGCCCGGCTTGCCATGAAAGACTTCTTACATCTGATGACACTTTCGCCCCATGGGAGGCCAAGGATCTTCGAAGGACGTCGGCAAAGCGCCTTCCGCCTTTAGACTCGGCCGTGCCAACTGGAGGGCCTCCAATTTGCTGGCCATACGAGCAGCTGCGCGACTGGTAGGTGTCGGCATCACCGCTGCACTTTCCTGCTGCGGCGCAGGAGCAGAGCTTGACGACAAGATTTCCTCACCAACGCGATGCAGAGCTCCCAGATGCGAAAGCAGGTCGAGGACTGCGGTAAGCATGTTCAGGCGGCTCTCCACACAGAACTGATCGCGGTTTGCATTCGACATGTAAACCTCCCCATGCAGGCCACTGAGACCAAGCGAGTTGACAAGTTCCACCTCCAAGCTCCTTGCCGCAAAGGTCACAAGAGCGGTTTGGAGCTCGGGTTTCTTCATCAGCTCCCCGTCCCTCTCGAAGTGTTGACACGCGCACTCGAGCACTTCAGCGATCTCCCTCCAGGCACCCATGGCATCCTGCCCGGCATTGTGCATACGCGCAGTGGCATCGTGCCAGGCCGCCCAAGTTTCTTCCAGCTCCGAGGTCCAGAAGCGCAGCCGCCGCTCCAGTGACTTAGCCAAGCTTGCCAGCCAGGCCTGCACTACTTTTTCACAACTTCGCACCGCTTTGATCTGATTTGCGCTGCTTTGCACTGCTTTGCGCGGCTGCGCAATGCTCTGTGGAAGTCTAGTCCAGTAAGCAAGACTATAACAACAACCGCCCACCGGCTTTACGCTACAGCGCTTACCCGTTCGCATTCACGCGCCTGGGACTGTGCTCAGCCAGAAGCGTTTTGGAAGTCTGAGTCGGCAATGTGGGTTGAACGTATGTCATAAGCGAGCACACACAGACGCACCAACACTTTCCCGGCCAGTGTGAAACCGTATCCAACCAGCCTGAGCAGCCATGACACAATGAAGGAGGAGAACAAAGCACCTGAACCAAAAGTTAGACCAATCCTTGGCCATTCTTCCGTGACGAAATTCTCAGTAATCTACTGGCGTGCGAGGTGGGGGGTGCACCACAACCCCTCCTCCAGCGCCACCACCCAGCCACCCCCGCCACCTCTGAAACTCTAACCCTAAACCGTAAAACTGCCACCTGAAACTGAAAACAACACCCACGCCCCAAACCAGAAAATCTAAACCCACGGCAACAATGGATACTCTCTACAGTCACAGGAAGGTGCCCCCTACGCCACACTGCGAGAACTCAAACCTTGTGTCGGTGAGTCCTTCCTGTTCCTGGGAGTTCTAGCGTTTTTCAACTCCAGGGCGCCCTCCAAAGGCCTTTGTCTAAGGCAGACGATTTTCAGAGACCCTCTCCTGGTCGTGGAGCCTTTTGCCGCCAACAGACGCCCAAACCTCGATTGGGCCAGGGCCTCCGAGGCCTGTGAAGGTCAATCAATGGAAGGTTGCTTCAGGAGCCCAAAGATGCCTTCGTTCGCTTCTTCTGCGTAGCTTCGCGCATCCACCACACAGGCTGTCTACAGTCATCCATGATGTTCTGGCCCACTTAACGGCTCGCTTCCGGAGGGGAGCAAAAGCTCACGTGGCAGAAGGCAAGTCGTGTGCGCACGACCCCAAGCTTGTGCAACATGCTGTCCAGCTTTTCTGGCCTACGAGCAACCCTCCCCCCCCATAACCCGCCCGAGACGGGACCACATCTCGTCGCCCCACCCCAGGTTCCCAGCGCATATTTGCCTCGACAAGACCCCCGAGAAGCCGAAACAGGCTTACGCTGAGCAGAGGGAGCTTTCCAGACAATGGAAAAGACAGCATCGGACGCTCCGCGGCCTGCTCAAGCGGTGCTTCCAGAAGTCCCTGCATCTCCGCACAGGCTTCTGAGCAAACCTCGTTTGCCAGGTGGCGGTAGCCTGAGACAACGGCAATCAGCAGCTGCGCACAACGCACAAGATCATTGTTCCTTGGCAATATAGGTTACTTGCAGGCGCAAGGAACAAAGCCAGCAACTACAAAAGTTCAACGACTCTCTTTGTTGAGCCTAAACCCTAAACCCTAAACCGTGAACCCAAAATTCATCTGCGGCGCTCTGCAAGGCGCTCCTCCTCTCGGCTTCGCCCGCAGCAAAGCGGCGGGTTACCTCACCCGTGGCCGCCAGCGCGTAGTGGGTGGCCCTGCAGCCCAATTTGGGGGCAATCCAGCCCAAGGTCTACTATGGTCAGACTAAGGTCAGATTCGGGTCTTTCTGTGACTTCTGCACCTTTCTTCAAGAGCTGAAACAGCAGCATCTCGTTGGGCCATCAGCTCCTCAAAGCGATCTCAAGGTCAAAGCACGATGCAACACGCGAGACACCACGGAATGAATAATTCTGGCAAGTTTTGCCAAGCATCCGTGAGGCACGACTCCACAGCCATCTGACGTCTGAGTCTCGCAACCTCACTTCCTTTCGCTGGATCTCCCGTCTCCAAGCCTCAAGCATTCAAAGCTGTCAAGCAAACCATTAAAGCATGGGGTAAACAGTCCAGGTTTGCAACCTCGCTGGAAGGAGTAACAGCGTCTTACAGCGCTCGTTGTGCTGACATGGAGCTTTCCTCGCAGCATTTTGCCCCAGTGGATGTTGCAGGCACCTGCGGTCAGAGGCCAATCCCATTTGCAATTACAAAGGCTAGCAAGGCCTGCCCACAAGAAGGATTGTGAATGCTCAGTCTGTTGGTTAGCTTTCCTTCGTTAGCCAACTTCATGCGTTCTCAGTCTTTTCTGCGAGTTCTCATCTGAAGCGTTCACATGTGTTTCTCTTGCCTCCAGTGCCTCGGCTTGCAGCGCTCGTTGCTGAGTCTCGATCGCCTCTAGACGCCACTGGCACGCGATGAGCTCACCTAGGCACGATAACAGGCCACATTGCGCCACACTGGGCCACACGGGGCCACAAATGGACCCCCGGGGGTTCGAGTCACGACTTCGGAAGCCAGGCAAGGCACGGAAGAAGCAATCCACAGCAGCAAGGTGGGCTCGCCTCGCCTGCAAGGCGTCGCAGTACCGATGCACCTCCAGTTTGAGATGGACACCACACGAAAACTCTGAGCTTCTTGTGTCTCGTGGGAGCTGTTGCAGGGCAAGGGCGTTCATTAGCTCACATGCTGTGCACCTTGGATGTCAGCACCGAGGCTAAGTGGTGCTCCCTTGGTGGTGATGGTCGACGCTGAGAACAGCAGAAGTGATCTCCAACTGCTCCGCCAGTGCCTGGCATGGGAAGCCACGGCTTGTGGCAAACAAATGCTGATAAAAGCAAGTACCACGAACAGGATTCAGGATTCGCAGCATCCATATCAAGCCCAGCAAGCAGGCCGTAGCGTGCCCCTTCCAGTCGCAGATGGAACAAAGAGACCAGCAACGAGAGAAGCCATCGCGAATCCACACGAGGCGCAAACGACTAAGACGAAAGCTCCCATGGTTCGGTAAGGCTCAGTACATGCTGCTAAGTGTTTGCACCGATTCTAGCATTGCTGCTATTGTTCTTTGACACTGGAGCGGCAGTTCATGGTGGGGTCAGGCATTGGAAAAGCAAAAGCTTGCAAAAGCACAAAGGTGCATGCCCCCGACCTGCTGAGGCCGTCTTTGGCTTCACTTGTTGCAGTCAAACGACAGCAGGCTGAGCAAAGCCTCACAAGTTAAGCGTTCTGCTGCAATTCCCGCGCTGCTCCATCCAGGAGAGCTCAACATCGTCATGATGGTGCAAAACTCGATAAACAAGCTGAGGGGCCACACCCTCAGCATGCATCACTCTGGCAAAGCTAGGCGTTGTAAGCCCCACGCTGCAGGCGCTGAAACGCCTTCAGCGGCCGTGAATTTGCGGAGAGTGTAGCGAGCTGACGCTGCCACTCGGCTGGAATCCCCTTGCAAGGCCTCAAATCAGCCAAATCATGAAGCAGGTAACCTGAATGTCCAGTGGGTTCACTGTGCCCTCGCCGACAGTACCCCGACTTTTGCAGCGCTTCGACTTCTGAGACGCGTGCTTGGGCGGCGATGGTGCCGGGGCGTCCAACATCAGGTTCTTTAGAATCAATCGCTTAGCACTTGTTTCTCATGTTCGTGTTTGCGCTCGGATGCACCATTCATGTCGCAATGTCTCAAGCCAATAGCCTGCAGATAGGTGTGGGTATCCGGGCTCCAATGAGCTCAAATGAAACACGAGCCAACGAGCGTCAACGAGTTGCAGGAAATGGACTCTGAAAGCTCAGCAGATAGCAACGCTGTGCTTTCAGCAACAGGCATTGACAATCCTGTTAGCTTGTATTTCCAGACCTGGGCACTCGTACTTGTTGCAAAGCCTGACCCAACCAAGTTGACATGGACTGCAGCAAACAACCCACCGCAGCAGCACCTGCTCTGTCGCAACCTGCCACAGGGGTGGTTCTGAAGTCTGTGTGGAGCTTCTAAGGCTACATCGCATTTGACGGGCACGGCCACCTCGCTCATGCTTTCAGAGCCCTTGCGAGCGTGGTCCTTCCAGCATGCGCGGCGGCACGGAGGATATGCTGACTTCTCTAGCAATAACCTAGCAAAGGATAGTGCTGCTCAGATCTCTGGCCCTTAACCCTAAAGCCTAAACCCTAAACCCTACGGCCTAAACCGATCACGGTCTGGAAGATTTGGCACACGTTGCCCATGCCTCCAGGTCCATGATGTCGGACTCGCCGGGAGAGAGCTCCAAGTTGCTAACCCCTGGGGTGCTTATGATATAGAAAATTATAGAATATGATGATAGAATATGATAGAACATGATAGAATACTATACTAAACTATTATGTAAAATATTATAGAAAACATCGAGTATGAAAGACTAGCATGGAAGATTGTAAAATATTCGGGAATGCTATACAATATGCAAGAATATGACGGAATTTGATGAAAATATGATAGAATATGATAGAATATGATAGAATATGATAGAATATGATAGAATATGAAAGAATATGATAGAATATGATAGAATATGATAGAATATGATAGAATATGATAGAATGTGATAGAATATGATAGAACATGATAGACTGTGATAGAATGTGATAGAACCTGATAGAATATTCTGGAACACTTTCGAACATGAACATTGCAGAATATTACGAAACGATGTCAGAGTTCAAGGCTACCCGCTACCCAGCGCACAGAGCAACCAGTCTCTCAGCTCTGCCTGTCTGCATCTCCGCCAGTCTTCGCACAAGAACTGCATGTTCCTACGCACGGGGGCAAGGGATGAGGGTTTAGGGTTTAGGGTTTAGGGTTTAGGGTTTAGGGTCTAGGGTCTAGGGTTTAGGGTTTAGGGTGTCAGTTGAATAGACCAGCTCGGCAGATCCGGAAACACGGCATGCAACTTGCAAGACCTGAGACACCACTAAGTCCACAACATCCCCAGCAATCCCCACGAGACCCTGGCAAGCAGCAACCACGCGCACCTGCTCAAGTGCCAGCATCTTGTCCTCGGCCACATGTCTCTGCTGCTCGAGCACCTGAACAACGCACAGGCGAACAGCCGCAAAGCAGTCCAGTTCAACTTGTTACACCCCGCTTTGAGCCACCAGAGAATTTCACAAAGCTAGGCGAACCCTCGACCTGCGCTGCCCTGCACTGTGCACTGCACTAGTTTCGCAGATTTGGGAGGCTTCGGCGGGTTTGCAAAAGTTTCTGCAGAGGCCTCCAGGATCTTTGTGGTCCGCTCGAGCTCACGTCTGAGCTTCTCGTTCTCGCCGCTGAGCTCCGCCGACCTGCACGACTGTACTGCGGATGCGGCGAATGCCCACCTGCCATTGACGAACACTGAGTTGCCCCTCTCACGCTGTGTTCCCCGGCCGTAGGTCCTGCTCTGATCTCCTTGCCACCATCTGAGCCAAAGACCTCTGGAGAAGTGGAGGCTCTCAGGGTGCTCAATGTAGCGGCTGCTTCACTCTGGGCCCGGACAGGGGCGACAGCGGCAGTGCTGCTGGCGATCCCGCCAGCACTGACGGCGACCCCGCCAGCGCCAGGAGATCCGTGGAAGGGTCCGTGCTGGGAGGCAAGAGGTGCTGGGCATGACAGTGTCTGAAGTCGGTAAGACAAGTTGTGGCCTGCCGATATGAAAGGTGATGGCAGCGCCGTCACCTGCACTGGCAGAAAGCTGAAAAGACATCCTTGCAAGCATACATTAATGTGGCAAGTCTAAAGCTCACTAGCTCCATGGCACCGTTTGTCTTGGCAGCACTGTTGTCCACGTCGCCCATCAGCCCAGTCAGACCAGCTCTGGGAGACAGACCAGTTTGGCCTGGGCATGGCAGAACTGGCAGAACTGAAGTGGAGAACTCTTGGAGAGCTCGTTAGAATATGTTAGAATCAGCTTTTTCTAGGGCAACGACCGCAGATGGAATTCACCACATCGTACACGCCTTCGTCCAGGAAGCATTGTCTCTCATCCTCGAGCTCCATCAACCTGATGAAGAGGCAGGCGTGCCAGTTTGCAACGATCTTGGATCGTGGTGCCTCTTCTGAGTATCGCCAAATGCCTCTCGCAAAGCCTGGTTCTCGAGGACGAGCTGCCAGCCCAGCTGAGTCTTCCAGGCTCCGGCGGCAACTGCGGCGAGAGAGCCTGGCCTGGCGCATTCTCTCATCCGTGGTGGAGCTGCCACCGCCACCCCCAGCTGCCGCAGAGTACAGACCTTAACAGAACAGTTCGTCTGTAGTCAAATTTGGTGCACTACACTCTGCGTCAGTTCAACCCAGAAGCCGAGGAGTGGTCTCAGTCCAGCACTTGGACTGCATGCTGTGCTGGCAACCTCCGCTGCCTGTCCTTCAACCAGCTCACTTTGAACAGCAAAGCCAGCCGCAGCTAGTTTCATCAGAACATGCTTCCGACAGTTTCGCCCCCACCGCCCCGAGCTTGCTTGTAGCCCTGATTACAGCCCTACCCGATCAAGATGAAGCTACACCTAAGCAAATCAGGTCCCAGAAGATGGGAGGAATGTCTCAAAAGCTTCGACAAGCATTGCGACTCCATTTAAGTAGCATTGCACTCTCATGCGATGATCCTGTTCAAGAGCTTGAAACATCTTGTACCCCAGCCGGATATCACAGCACTTTCACCCGATGCAGGTCGTGATGCCGGTGAGCGTGTAGGTCTTGTAGGCCCACTAGGGCGAAAAGGAGCAACCCCCTGACTGTCACGGGAAGACGGAATGCACGCAACACCACCACATCGCCTCCGGCCTGGGTAGTGGATGCGTGTCTATGCGTGTCATGAGTTTGAACATATCTTTTGTCTGTTCCACCACTTCCCAAAGCTCATGATGGATCCGACTGTCTGGGGAAACTGCGGAATGTACGTAGCACCACCACCCGAACATTTGGTCTCGGTGACCAAAAAAACTCATGTCACGGGTGTCTGCGACTTTTCGCCTTCGTCTGGTCCAACATGGCCCACATGGCCTTTGCTTATTGACCTTGGCGTAGTAAGAACCACTCAACTATCGTCGGCAGATGCTGCTTTACATGATCCATGATCGGAGCTTCGAAACGGAGAAATCTGTTTCATGGGCGAAACGGCCACGGGTGAAAAACTGAAACTACAACGTGAGCAAACTTGTGACTGGGCTGGAAAGGACGGCTTTCATTGGCGCAGTTGCGAAAATCTCCACTGGACGAGGCTCTTCGGCGCCACCATGCGGGTTCTCGTCGGTAGGGGTCGCGTCCTTTGCCATTCGTGGCCGACGTGTTTGGAGAGTTCGCGGAGTAACCGGCGGCAAGCTGCATTGGGAGCTACCATGGATGGGCTATGGCATCTGATCGATCATTGTGGCATCCAAAGTGAAGTTGCCAAGATCTGTCGGGCCGCTGCATGGTCACGAGTGCAGTGGGCAGAGCCCCCACGGCTGAGGGGCCAGTTCTCTCCCAAGTGGTCGCCCAAAGTACCCTCAGGGCGGTTCCTTCACCAGTCGGGCCATAGGCCACCTGTCCACGCGACCGTTGCAACTTGCTCCGGGGAAGCGGCGTGTGCAGCCAACGAGACGTGGCAAAATAAAGGCAGCACCAGAACTAATAAGGTTCTTGGAGCATGAAAGGGAACTCCATGGAGGCCAGCGTGCGAACAGCCGTTCAGCGTCCTCGTGGTGGGGGGAGTGCATTCTCTCCGGCACGGGCGATCATGTCCGAAACCTCGAAACGGAGAGTCTCCCCAGTTGCCATGCATACCCCATCACATCTCCACGTTTGTTGGGTTGAGATGGCAGCTAGTTGACCCTCCACATTCGGCTGGCAGGCTTAACGCGTGCGGGCTGCAACTGTATGGGTTCTGAGCGATGTCTTCTGAAGCAGCCGATGGCATGCCAGAGACGATTGAGGAGTGCTGATAAGTTCGATGGCGTGCCTTGGCCTCATGTTCAGGCGGAGTCGGTCTGACTTTTGCTGGGGCGAAGTGTAGTCCAAGTTGGTGCATGTTGGAGAATTCCAAGGCTCACTCTTGGTGCTCGCCGCGATGCCCTCGCCAAGCTAATTGCAAGGTAGAGGGCATGCTGTCCAGCACCAGCCGTCCTAACAATACCTGCTCAGGTAGCGTCATGGCCCGCCTCCCCAGTGGGGTGTCAACAAACGGCTTCTGTCGGCTTTTCTGTCCTTTCCCACGTTCATCTGAGTTGTGAGAGCACGACCAAGGGTCCCAAGCTGATGTATCCCATCGCTTCAGCACCTCTTGACAGCCTCTTTTGTAGGACGGGAAAAGTCAAGGCTGTTCTGCCCCCCACCAAATGGTTATGTTGACCAAGGTGCTGAAAGTACTCTCGCTTCCAAACCCTTAGTATTAGCTACAGGGTGTACGAACACTACACCGTATCTCCACACTAATCGCCCTTGGTGGAATCTTCAGGGGAGCCTGCCAAGTCATCCATGACGATGGGAGGGAAAACCTCTTCGCTGGCGATGTCGTGCACTAGTACCGAGCTTCCTGAAAAAAAACAAAAACTGCTGCACCACTGTTCTGCACTACTGTTCTGCACTCAGAAGTCAGCTCTCCAGACCGCGCCTCGCAGAGACCGCGGTGTGTCCGTCGCCCCAATGGGAAGCTGAGGGCTTTTCGTTTTGTCCTTGCAATTTGCTGGTGTGTTCTGGTGTGTTCTGGTGTGTTCTGGTGTGCTCACATACCCACAAACTGATCTCTCTCGAACCTCTGCACAAATGACCTCTTTGAGGTCAACCAGTCGTCGAAGTGCTTGGACGGCCTGAAGTTGCATCTCGAAGCTTTGTGATGGCCAGGTGCCGCCCAGGTGCATAGAGTGCCAGGGGCATAGAGGCAACACGGACAGTCCTGCCGGTTCTTGTCGGCAGCCGCACCCTGCGACAACATCTAGCTTTCCCAAACTTCTATATGATTTGTCGAGCCTACACCAAGGCGACATTTGACTTGACGTTCCAAGCTAGGCTGCGCTACGCTTCGATGGAATCAAGCGCCTGTTGACGAACCGGTGCCTGCACCTGCGCAGACACAAAACCATGGTGCTAAACGTATGGAAGCAGCAGCGTTCGATTGAACGAGTTCTCAGCGAATTGCAGACTACTGGCAGCTGCTTCTACATGCAGCCTACCCGAGATGGCAGAGAATCTAGAAGGTTCAAGCCTGGCTACTTGTGAAGCATGGGATCTTGACATTGGCATTCCACAGCCGTCGTGAACTAAACACCAGAAGGCCTCCGTGCGACCTGATGTCGCCAAGCGTGCACTTCGCGTCACCGGTGTCCTGCAGAACAAGAGATTGCCATAGATCCTGTGGGACGTTGCTAGGCACTGGGGGACTTAAGACAGCCCATGAAAGCTAGTGGCTGGATGCTCGGCCAGGACGGTGTGGCGTCATGGGCATTAGGCAGAGTCCAAGAGAAAAGTGTAGACAAGAAGGAAAGCAAGAATCCGGAAGCAAGCTAGTAAGGAGCTAGTTTCGTGAAAAAGTTAGACCATATCCATGCTGCGCACTGCGCCCATGATATGTCCGAAGCTGTCTTCTGCTGGGTGACTTCGGGGGCTGCTGCCAGGTTTTACAAGAACAGCAGCACATCCTTGGTTTCGGCTGCGGTGACAGCTCCCGTCTCCGCGGCGACTGATTGCGAGCCGGAAAGGCCTGGACCAAGGGCTATCCTAGCCATGCACAGGCATGCTTGGTGGGAAGCCGATTTCAATCGAAGTGCGAGAGTGGGTACACGGGTCAGAAGCACACTTCCACAAAATCAACAGGCGGCACAAAACGGGGAGCTAGCTGTAGCAGATGTCATATTGTATCATATCATTCCTTTCAATCATGTCAATCATATCACATCATGCCGCCCCGAACCTGCAGCAAGGCTCTTCGTGCTGAACTCACTTGACATACTTACGGACTCCAAACCTGTGGATGTCTGCGGCGAAAAACTTGATGGACGAGCATGCGCCGATACTTTGTCCCGGGCTCGGCCTGTCGCAGAGCTGCCTGTGAGCGCCGTCAATACTTGAAATTGCTGCTTCAAACGAGTGCAAAGATGCCCTGATGCCACTGGGCAACTGCGCAGGCCTCCCTCGCCTGAGATGCAGCCGTTGCACTATGGAGTCCAGAGGACCTCACAGCCCTGCGGCTTGTCGCTGGGTCCGCCTGCGAGGATGCAAGGACGCAAGCGCTGACATCTCGAACCTTCAAGTCGCTCCGCATCTAGGATGCAGGCCGCTGCATTTGCAGCTGGGCCCACCGGTGCAGGCGGACTGGAAGCTCTCCTCTCATCAAACGGTACAACTCCTTTCGCGTTTATCTTCGTCAGCCGACTCACTTGCATCCAGCAGTGGGGGCCAGTATACTCGCATCTTAGTTTCAAATGTTCCATTTCAGGTCTGATGCACTTGATTGTTTGCTGACCTTCTGAATGAATCTCCTTTCTCGTACCTCACTGCTTGCAAGCTCTTGGCCTTCCCAACTCTTTGGAAACCCGATCAGCAACACGAAACTGACGGCTGCTGCTCAGTTACTCTCTGCCTTACACGCGTCTGCCTAGTCCACAAAGGATCCTATGCCGTTTGGATAAGTCCCCGTGAGAGGTCGCCATGCGTGTTTTCGAGTTTTCGAGATCTTCTGATACGACTGCAGAAGCCACAGAGTACGGCTCCTTGGTAGCTGCGATCCTTGGTGCTAGCCGTGACGTGGCGACAGCGAAATGAAAGACAAAAGAATCGAACTTCCTTGTATGCCTGAATCATCTGTTCTTCTCAGTTCAGGCCTGTTTAGCCAAGTGCTGGGAGCACAAAAACAGAAGCTGAGTAAGTGGACGCGATGATCGCAAGCGATTTTCAGGCTTGGCCTGGGACACACAAGCACAAAAAGTTCAACCCCGGCAACAATCAGATTCCAACGACTCAGAGGTCGCAGCCGGTGCAACTTCGGAAGCCATCTGCGAGGGCACACAAGCACTTCTCAGCGAATCTGCACTTCTGCCTAAACTCCCTGCCTTGGCCGCGGCTCTTGCTTTGGCGAAGCCAGGCTTCGGAAGGACCTCCCAGCGCGCACACACACACACACACACACACACATAGGACTTATAGGACTCAGAGGACTCATAGGCAAACGAAAGCTGTGGCTCCCATGTCGAAGTGAACGATGTCGCTTTTTGAACTACAACTATGCCTTCATTTCCAGTCTTTGCTGGGCCGAGCTGTCTTTACATCTGTCGCCAGTGGACGTCCTCATATGTCCTCATTTCACTTCTCGATATCGTGCGCAGAAAGAAAACCGGCGACTGGAAATATTGCATCATCGAGAAGAGACGCTGCAATCTTGGGAGAGTTGCGGTGGACAGCCTGCTTGGCTCACCTCTTCACTTCTCCGCTTTTGCAATGTCTATCTCCCCGGCACGTCTCCACATGTCTGTGGCTTGCTTGAACTCTTCCGCGGCTTTTCGTACCTCAGCAGCCTTCAGGCTCTCGTCTGCCGGAACAGCCTCAGCATCACCAGTCTTGGGTACGGAGTTTGAAAGTCCATGTGTGACTTTGTCTATCTCCTCAGGAGACTTCCAGGACTTCACGGCCTCTTGCCAAGCGGATCCTGAGATATCCTTTCGGACATCTTGTGTGGGCTCTTGCCCTGGCCTCTGCTCAGGCTTCGTGGTCTCCGGCGCGACTGAGTCCTTCATCTGCATCATGGCGCATTCTTCACCATCTGCGCCTTGCTCGGCTAAAGCTAGACCCGCCAGCAGCGTCAAGACTAGGCTCCGAAGCTGCATGGCACCTGTAAGCCCGTAGGCTCAAAAGGCGGCACTAGAAAAGGAGGGCCTGGTGCCCTTCGTGTTCGATATCCATGGCTGCATGAAATCAACTGCATACCATGACGCTTCGTCTATTAAGCAAGCACAACGGTATTCACTGACAGCTGCCTTGGCCTTCGGCTTCGCAGCCGCAGCTCCCTTTGTCATGTAAGGCCATGGCATACAAGATGCATGCGCATGAAAGCGAAGATGCTGAAGGATTCTGGCTCTCTGCTTAAGGGCCCCTACCAGGTCGGATGCGGCACCATGGCTGATCCTCCACATCGGACTTGGTACGATGATGCGAGGATGCGGAACGTGAAGCCTGGCCTGGGGCGAAGAGCATCAGCAGAGCCCATGCCCGACGAATCCGGACCTCGACATGCCCGAAACACACTTCTTCACAACAACATGTGCTGATTTCATGGGTTGCTTAAGCAGTCACAAGCAAACATGCTAGAGGTCGATGGCATCGGTGTTGCGCACTGCTGTTGCGGCACCTCTTCCACAATCCAAGAACCGGACATTTGCGGCAGCTTGCCGACTACGTGCCAATGGTCTGTCGTTGCTTGTGATCTTCCTTTTGCATGATGCAAAGATTTATCGAATGATGCTGGCTTGCCTACTTTTAACAAAAACAAGAATACAAAGGACGTCTGCTTGTGCCAGTTTGCAAAAGTCGTTGCATGAGACGCATGGTTGCTACTTTCGACTACAAGGCGCTTCTTCCATTTGGGCATGATGTCCAACACAGCTGCAAACAGTACCCGCAGCCAACCGATTCATTGCTCCGTAAGCTTGGGTGTCTTTCCACACCACACTCTGCAAAAACACAAGCCGCTCTTCAAGATTTTGACAAATGAGGCATACTGGACACGCAAAGGGACAGGAATTTCAGACCACGGCTAGGAAAACACCCACACGGCATGAAAGATCCAAGAACACTTTGTGACGTCTGGAAGTGCTGGCTAGCCATGGCTCACTTGTCCGACAGCAGCTGGAACAGACATTGCAGACTGGATGCTTAAAGCCAAGAATCAAAGAACTGTTCTCAGAAGGAGGCAATACCAAGAGGGTTCACGCTCCCTAGAACAGGTTAGGGGGGCGCGGAGGGTAGTCTGCCACTTGCGGTTGCAGATCATCAAGGAAAGGGACCGACCAGGTATTTGTGTAAGCTTCCCTTCCAGTGAGACAAGGGTTACGGCTGGTGTCCTAAATTTTGACTTCGTAGGTTTGAGGGGCTGGGCCTCCTAGAGCAACCAAGCGATTGTGACAACAAACGCGAGCCTTGCAAAGTTGTAGAAAGTGAGTCAGGATGCCTTTGGCATGCCAAAATCATGTGGCTAGCTTCCCTTTTTGGGAAGGTAGGGAAGCTGCTTGAAGCTGCAATAAAAAAAGCACAGCTTCTTACAAAGGTGGTGTACCTTCAGAGCAGCAACCCCACAAGTCCGAGAGGTAGACATAACCACGATCCACAAATTCGGCACTCTCCCGATGCAGAAGACAACCCGCCCGAAAGGGATGTGGATGATCCGTCTGCGCCGCCCGAAACGGATGTGGATGTGCCTGTGCCGCCCGAAACGGATGTGGATGTGTCCGTGCCGCCCGAAAGGGATGTGGATGTTGCGGGCCCGGTATCAGAACGGATCAAGCAGCTCGTGTTGATCTCTGGGGATGACCTGGTGATGTTGCAAGACATCTCGCCGAAGGTCGAGCAAACGGCCTTTGGAACTGAGACTCCACAACGACATGGCAAGTCCTCGGCGATGTAGCTGTCGTTGTTTACCAGGAAAACACCGCAATCCCAATTCTGTTCCTGGCACAACTTGAATCCCTCATGAATAGAGGTGCATGGATCGGATGCATAGTATTGGAAGGTGCCCCAACAGCCTTCTGTCACCACAAAGGCTTTGGTTGAAAAGTCCACAGCACGGTACGTGTCCAAGAGTCCTTTCACGAACGAAGTGAGGTCTTCTTCTTTGCAACTACCTTAGTTCGACAATCGACTGCGTCGGCCAACAACATCCGTTTGGGAGACTTTTTTGGACTCAACGTGCTTTCAAGTCTTCGATGTCAGTTATCTTAGGATTCAAGCGGCAGGTCCACAGCTCACGCATGTCCGACAGATGGTTGAGAAGAGTCCCGACAGCTATTTGCAAGCCGAGCTGCTTTTCTTGTACGGTGCGTCCAACGTGTTCTCATCTAAAGTGAATGTTTCGGTGATCTCACAAGACAGCGACGTTGCCACCGGACTGCTGCCGCATAGATGCGCGGGTCTCTGGCGGCAAGCCTTGATTCACTTTGGCTAGGGCTTTAGGGTAGTTGTGACCAACCACCGTGAACCAAGCCACTGGCCGTTTTCCGTCAAGTTATCCCTTTGCATGATGCTGTACACCCCAGTCACCCTAACACCCCGATGCCCAAACGCTGAACCTCCTGCAACCCAAGATGCCTCAAAGGCTTCTCTGATGCTGGCCTGTGCTGCCCAGAGGTTTCCCGTTTGGGGCACCATCGTATCACAGCTCACCACCCAGTCTGCATCTTCCGGAAAGAAGGCCACCTTGGACCCCATGGGCCATGGGCTTGGCTCGGTTACTAGAGAATCAAAGGAATTCCAACTCAGAATGCAGAAGTCTTATACAAAAAGGTTGGGAAGAGTTGGGAAGAGCCACGATGTGAACCAAGTTCTGCGTTGGTTGAAGCTCCAAATACGCACCCAAACAGCCGCCGTGGCCTGCCCGAGGTTCACCGGTCTTCCAGTCAGACCATACTGCAAAGGTGCGACCCGTCCCCAGCAGAACTCCGTGCCTCGGCAAACCAAAAAGGGAAAGTAGGAGCATGGCAGCATGGCAGCATGGCTCCTCTCGAGGTTGAAACACGTTGAAACCGATTCAAAACAGCTCCAAAACCTTCTCTTCGGCGTGTGTTTTTTCATGCTCCGGGCGACTTTTGAATGGGCGAAAGCAAGTCCACGAAGTCCTGCTGTTTCAAGAGAGTCTTGGCCAAAGCCTCAGGTCGTCCGTTGTAGCCTTGGACCAGCCACTGGCCATAGATTCCTAGTTCACTTAGAGGAGCCCAGAGCCCTCCGGCGGGATTCGCGTCAACGACCTCTGCCGTGCTCATGTGGAGCGGATCGAAGATGAGAGTCTTCGCCAAGGTGCCGAAATCCATGCCCGAGATCCTCTCTTCGATCAATGCCAAGACCTGCACACCGTCAACGTGGACATAGTTGTGTACGGTATTGAGCTCTGGCGTGCAGTTGCCCAGCGCCCCGTATTGCAAGGTGTTGTTCACCCAGACTTCACGGTATGCAACGATTCCACGACTCCACGCACTCCACAGTGCCGCGGTTCCCTCAGCAGTCCACGGCGCGCCATCGGGGAAAAGACAGGCGCTGTGCGAGGCCACGTCCAGGAGGGAGGCGTTCTCGAAGTCCGTGCCGGGCGCCAAATCTGGCAACCATTGGCTGAGCTTGTCATTCCTCTGTTGGGAGATGTTGGGAGGCCTATTTGGGTTTTGACATGGGACTTTGGGATGTGACTCTAGCCTCATATATAGACGTGGCCTCATGTGGCAAACACGCGCGACAGCACACAAACACTGTAGGGCCGTCACTAAGAGCCCACGGAGCCTTGCTTTCGCTCCAAGTCTCCAGCCAATTTCAGGTAGACTGCTATTGGCCATGAGCATCTGCATCACCACTCCCACCACTGTTTTCGTGATGGAGGCGTATCCCCATCGCAGCTGCGCCGGTGGATTGGCCGCAGCGGTCTTCTGACTTGCACCCTTGCGCCGATACGAGCCCACAGAAACCTGTCTTGATCAAAGAAGCTCGGGAGCAGCAAGTTCTTAAGGCGGGTCGGCTGATCAAGCACTAGCACGATTTTGGGGTTTAGGGTTTGAAAGCAGTCACTTTACTAGCTAGCGCCGGTGCGGTCTTTGTTGCGGCCCGCCTACGTCGAATCTGTTGGAACTGTGTGAGGTCTTTCAGGCACCCAGACTAGGAGCCCGGAAGCTGTCAAAGACTGAGGGAAAACAAGCCAAGTTCTGGTGAATGCATGCGTCAAAGAATGATTCTAGCACTGTTCGCCTCCGCTAGCGTGCTGCACTCGTTGAGGACCGTAGCAGCCAGGGTCTCCAGCGGAGGCGACGTAGCTTGGCCATCGCTGAGGATTTTTGACAGAACCGGCTCCAGCCCTGCAGCAACTGGGCCAGCCATGGCGATGAGAGGGCCCACTGGAACGCGTTTTCTTCCAAGCACGTCAAAGGCGCAAGGCTTTGCAGAAATACTATTGCTGCTTTCTTTGTTGGGACATGTCATGACATGCTTGCATGTTCGTCCTCATTGCTTGACGCTTCTTATGACAGGCGAATCAACTTTACTTCACTATACCATCCGTTGACGCGACCAAATCAAATTGAGGCCTCGCCCAACGGTGGCTTCAGGGCATGGAATGCCTTTTTTGCACCATCGGCAAGGCTTGGGGAATCGTACATCCATGAATCTTAAGCTTATTAACTCAAAGGGTTAAAGGTGTCGGGTATAGGGTTTAAGGTTCACGGCTTAAGGTCCAAAGTTGTGCTGAATCCATCTGCGTGAGAAGGAAGACTGACAGGTTCAGGGACCAAGCTTTCGATCAGACCCAATCTCGTGCCTCGTTTCATTTGGCGACAATACACACAAGTGATCCGGCTTCGCCTTTACCCAGACGAGGGTCAAGCCCAGTCCTACGTCCTCAAACTTGTTGAAAAAACATGCGGGTGCAGCCCTGGATTATCAACATCTTTAGTAAACATCTTGCCACTTCCGATTCGCTTCGGCATGCCATCATTGCTGGACATCATGCCCCACCCAACCTCCCCAATCGCCGACGGTCTTCTGGGTGTTGCGGGCTCAACTGTTTTGATCATGGTCTGAAAGTTCCTGTCATCGGTTGACCCTCACATGCAATGGGGAAAGCAAACGGCCGCAACCAATGCTTCAGAGAAAAAAGGGCAAAAAGGCGGTGCTCACATATTGGATCCATTGAGTACTCAACCATAGACTGTAAGCTTGCCCCGTTGTCGGCGTAGCGGGCAGAGGAAGTCCCGCTTTAAAACTTCCTGCCCGGCCCTAGCGTATTCACTGTCGACCGCTACCCCATACTTTCTACCCCCCCCCGATTCACTGCGGCCACGAAGGACTTCCATCCAATCCCTCCATCTCCGGTCAACTCGAACTCCGATCCACATAGGGTCCTTTCCTTGGCTACACCGTCCATTTCTGCTTCGTCACGTAGCTTGCTCGAGTCCATCTCCTCTGCATCTATTGTTGTGGGCTAACGGACTGATCCACCTCTCGAGCGCAATACTGAATGGCGGGTAGTCCTTGAGAAGCCTGTTACGTTCCACGATCGGTGGCAGGTCTATCTGTACGTTTACCTTCGCAAGCACACTCTCCACTCTCCACACCGTTTGCATCCGCTCTACGCTCGGAAAAGTCCTGATATGCTCTGGACCAATGTCCTCATGATTGGGCCCCCTTGTGCGTCATTACAATGGGATTGTGTGAGAATACCTCTCCCCACGTTCCGCCGACTTTGGCGACGTCTACCCGGGTCTACCCCGCCATTCGCCCTTGCCCATCACTCCTCTATCCGTTCTGCCTGCCAAACTCGTCTCCACAGCCTGTGTGTATCCCTCCTCCCCGAGTGACTTCAGCTCTCCGTACTGCGGTTCGAATATACGCGACGATCTTGTGGCTCGAATCCTGCAAACAACCGTCTCACCCTCTTCCCGGTACTTCGGGCGCAGAAAGTACGGCTCCCACCCTCCTCATCTCTTGGGGAAGGCAGGCCACATGCGGCCGCTTTATTGAGCTGGGCGAGACCATATGGATGGTTCGATAGGTGTTTGGCTGAAAAACTGACTCGATGTAGCTGTCTTAGTACAACATTATGCTAACGCACTTCTTCTTTCTTGCGCGAAAGCCCCTTTACAACGTCAGCTACCCAGTGGGCGATTTGGCAAAAGAATGAAACAGCTCATAAAAGCGGCGCATCAGCACAACCACACCACAAGAACACAAACTAAACACGAAGGAACCAACCCACCAAGTACACCACCAACCCACCAACACCAAAGCAAGCACACCGGAGACCGCGCCTGCGACGAGACGGAACGGAAGGCTTTGATGGAAGAGGCCGTAACGAGGGCACGGCGTATGCTGTGCAATGCCTCTTTGGAAGCGGGGACGGAGCCTCCTCCAAGTTTCAAGCCCCTGGAGACCGAGTCCTGGGGTACTTGGACCACTGGGCCGACTCGAAAAGAGTTATTCCGGAAGTGGGAGGCCGCCATCTACGCGGATGCTGGGCAGTACGAGGTGTGGGAAAGCCACCACAGGATGGGCGAACCCATCCCTTTGTGTCGGGACTGCTTAGGGGACCCGATCAATATGCTCAGCAAGGTGGCCAACGACCCCGACTACATCTCCAAGTACAGCACAGGTGGGGTTTTGCCTGCAATGGATTTAGAACCGGACCAGATCGAGTGTGTCCCGGTTTGCCCTGGATACGTTTCGATGAATTCGTGTTCGTGGGCCCATGGAATTATACCCCAGGAACGGTGCTACATTCTTCAGGAGCCCAAGGATCTGGAGAGGTACTTTGGTCCAAAACGATTCGCGGAGGTGGAAATCCTCACGACAGAGCTTTTGGATGCCCACTACAAGATTTTGGACGATCTCAACGAGGCCGAAAGTCTTCGAGGATTCGGTGTAACGGAGGGGATGGTCAGCAAGGCCCTCGACGAGGTTTCTTCCTCACTTACCAGTGGTACCTCATTCCACCCTCATGTTCGGCCAAATTCCAACGTGCACACGCTCATTTACAAGTACCTACTTCGAGCAGCACGAGTGCTTCGGTTGCACAGCCTTCACAGCCATCAGTACTACGACATCGAGGCTACCCTTTTGGAGCCACCAGATGGATTGCAAGGATGGCACGTGGATGTCTGTTGGGATCTTCTGGGTCGACAGCTTTGAAGCAGGGCCCTCGAATTTCACAAAATGGCCGAAGATCGTCGAGCAAAGCGTGCTCAACGTCCAAAGGCGCGACCTGCGCCCCCACAGCTCGACGAAGATCCTACCTCGGAAGAGGAAGAGGAAGAGGACGTCGATTCGTCCATCCTCAAGGAATACGCCGAGTTGGGGTGGTACGTGCAGAAGGTGCTCGAAGAAATCCGTGGTGGGAATTTGGCGCCATCTCCGAAGATCTACTTGGAAGGCCAAATGGTGAATGCCCCCTCGACTCATGGGGGTACACAGAGGCCGGCGGAACCACCTTCACCGGCAATGGTGCCACAGGAGCCGCCTTCACCATCAGGAGTTTTGGCTCCCCCGGAGCCGCCTTCACCAACAGGATCTTTGGTGCCACCGGAACCACCATCACCCGCGGAATCCATGGCGCCACCTCTACCGCCACAAGTTCCTCGATTCAAAATGCCTCAAAGGCCTCCCGTCCGTTGAGCGGAGAAGGGGACTATTCGGTGTGGGATCTCCTAAACACAGCTGTGGAGCCTTCATCGCCAATGTCCCCGGTGCCCACGGAGGTAGCGGATCGCGGCCGTTCCAGAAGCCCACGAAGGTTGCGACATTCGGATGTAGTAAGCGAGGCAAGGGCCGCTATAAGCGAGGCCGAAGCCGCTCTTCGCTAAAAGCGAAAAAGAGGCAATGCTCTTCCGTTGCGCCGCATCGTTGTTTTGCGCCCCGACAAGCAAAAAGAGAGCCGGATCGGAGACACGAGCAAGTAGGTGATTTTGAGTGGCATGAAACTTTGGCATGTTGTGGCTTGAGCTTGGCATGTTTGACTTGTTGTGGCATGGAAACATTTTGGCTTGGAAACACTAGCCTTGAGGCCCCAGGAGTTAAAAGGCATCTAGTGGTAGGACCCCTAGGAGAAATTCGAGGTTCAAAGCCCCGAGTAAAAAGAACCCCTTTCCGCCTTCACGCCAGGCGGTCCGCTAAAATTCCAGGATTAGTCATCGACGTCGCGATGGTGTTCCTCATCCTGATCTTCAGTGCCTTGGTTGGGGTCGTTGTTTCGGGTCTTTGGAAATTGCTCGAAAAGTGTTTTCAGAGAGGCTCCAAGGGAGCACCTGAGATGAGTAGAATAAAGCCCCGAAAAGGAGGATGTTGGATTCGTATTCGCACCCAAAAATGCTTCAAGCGTGTTTGCGTAGAACGGATCTTGCTGGTTGGTAGAAGAATCCCGAAAGCCCCAACTAAGGGAAAGCCCAAAACCTTAAAGTTGTTGGCTTGCGTGCGGCATGTTTGGCGTGTTTTGGCATGGTGTCTTGACGTGGCATGCTGTGTGTTGAAGGGAAATGATGAGAAAGTGCCGGAAGGAGGCTTAAAGCAGCCAGTGACTGAGCATCTGCGGATGCTCAGAGGGCTGCCCCTTCCAGGAAGTGGCACAGGCTCTGATCCCTTAATCTTGGACCGCGATAGTGGTGAACCACCGTCTTCCTCGAACCAACCGAATCGTTCCCCACAAAACCCGGAACAACCTCCTGAAGCCCCAATTCCACAAGGAGAGGAGATCGAAGAAAGGATTCCCCTCAGAAGCCACGCACTCCAGGTACATCGATCCCGAGGTCATTTTCCCTATGATGTGAACTGCGAAAGCTGCTGCTCTAGCAAAGGCAAAGTCCCGGCCAGGAGACTGAAGAGGCAGCTGCAGAAGGAGAATCAAACCATTGGGGTCGATTTCTATTACTTTGGGAAACTGAGGGTTCTTCTTCTTGTACATGTTGCGTCCCGGTACTCAATGTCTATCCCCGCCATGGAACTACACGACCCGAACTTGTTGTTCAATATCGATCGGTTTATCCGCGAAATTGGATTGCGCCAAAAGACCTTAACGTTTCGGTGCGACAACGAACAGGGTCTGATATCCATGTGCGAGAGGGTCGCGGCGCAGAGGCGCGAGAACCCTACGATGGTAGATGTTGTGCCAGGATACCGTCCGCAGTCTAAAGGTGCTGTGGAAAGGCAGGTCTCTGCAATGAAGCAGGGATTTTAGTCGATATGGCTCGACCTAGAGGCGGAAGTAAAGCGTCGACGACCTGCTGAAGAAGGTGGTGCCGCTTGGCAGTTACCTTTAGGTGGAATGTTGTGGCAGACTTGTTTGCTGTATGCTGCACGCAGTTTCAACTTGTGGAGCTTTGACAGCAACAACAGTA